CTCGCATCCGTCCTCCTCCAGCTCGTCCTCCTCGTTGTCCTCCCGCTCCCCTCGCTGCCCTCGCTGTCATCCACGCTGTCATCCCCGTCATCCGCGGCCTTGTCGTCGCCATCATCCCTTCCTCCTTCTCCCCTCGCGAGCCCCGTGGACAGCGTCAGCGCTTCCTGCTCTCATCCGAGCAGGTTTCACCACACCTCCGCCTCGGGAGGCCCGCTCTGGGTCCTGGGAGTAAAACGCGGCACTCGGCGGAACATGGGGGGCGGCAAAGAGGGGGGTGATGACTAGGGGGGGGTGGATATCATGGCGGGGGCCATGACATTTCCCCAGATTTCACGGCGCTTCTTCTTACTTCATTACGTCCCTGGCCCCCCCGCTGGGCCGCGCACATGCCGCCGGCCATGATTTGCACCCCCCCCTCTTGGACCCCCTCCTCTTGGCCGCTCCCGAGAACACCGGTCCGAGGGGTGGATGGTGTCGAGAGCTCCCAGGGGCCACGCAGCGAAAAAGCCTGGACTTCGGAGGTCGAGGGGAAAAAATGGGGGCCTCGCGCTGTCTCCTCCTCCCTCGAGGCACTCCGCTTCCGCCGTCTCTCGGCTCTCGGGGGGGAGGAGGCCAGGGGCGAGGCGGCGAGGGGCGGGGAAGGATGGAGGAGAGACGCGGTGGGAGGAGCGAGGAGGGTCGGGTTCTGTCGTTCGACGCCGTCGTCGTCCGATCGCTCGGCCCCCCTCTTTCTCGGGGCGGGGGCGTGCGCAGAGGCCGACGCTGGCATGCGCTCGTGCCACGCCGCGAAGTGCAGCGATGAGGACGAGGGCAACGCAAGAAACAGGAATTGTGAGGTGCGCCCCGACCCCATCTGCCTGGTCTCGAGCAAGCCCAGACGCCCTCTTCTTTTGTAAGCGGAGGTGGGGAAGGAAGAGGGCAGTGGCAGGAGGGGCAGCGGTGTAGACCCTCCCTGAAAGGACGCCAGCACCTGCTGCGAGGCCGAGCAAAAGCCGACGGTCAAACCCAGGCAGATGGACTGCTCTGAGTACTTGTGCGAGCAGGGCTCTACGAACGTCCATGACATGGGCAGGACCGTGATGTGCTCCATGGCGGGGTGCGATCAGGAGACTTGCTGCCTCAGTGAGGCACAGGTCACCATCGAGAAGGAGAAGGTTATTACGGTCGACAAGGAAACAGTGACCAGCGTCGATGTGTCATCCGAGCCCATGGTCTGCAACCTAAATTGCTATACGGATGTGGGTGCCACGGACATTGAGATCACGTCGGAGCCAGGTCAGCCAGAAGCTACCGCGAGTCTTGAAGCTTGCCGGCAGGCGTGCATGTACTCTAGCGAGTGCCAGGGTATTACCTACAAGAAGGGCTGGACAGAGGGACAGGGTGAGTGTTTGGGAAAGAAGGCGATTCACACCGCCAAGTGCGTTCCGGGAGGGGAGTACAACACGGAGATTCTGAGGGAGCACGTGATGGGGAAGTGCGCGCTGCTAGGGGACCCCCACCTCGTTCAGTTCGACAGGCCCTATGGGGAGACGGTCAACGTCTACAGCACTGGGGACTATCGCCTGATCGACTCCAGCGTCCTGCAGGTGGACGGAAGGTTCGACTTCACGAAACGATTTCCGACGGCTCCTGTCAGGAGGGAAAAAAACACAGAAGGGGGGAAGAGGGAGGAGGGACCTGCCAGTCCGCAAGCAGTGCGATTTCATGCTTCCCGATCGCCCATGGGGGCCCACTGGAGCTCAGGGCAAGTGTTGAAGTTTAGATGGAGGGAAATTCCGCCCCCTGATTTCTGACAGCACTGCACTCCTTGGAGTATGTATGAATGCATTCACGCGTTAATGTATGTATGTTTGTATGCATGCATGCATGCATGCATGTATGTATGTATGTATGTATGTGGGTATGTATGTACATATGCATGTATGTATGTCTGTATGTCTGTATGTCTGTCTGTATGAATGTATGTATGGATGTATGCATGCAGGTATGTAGGTCACGTATGTACGTAGGTATGCATGCATGCATGTATGCACGTATGTATATGTATATATACATGTATGTATGCATGCATGCATGTACGAATGTATGTAAGCATGTACGTATGCATGCGTGTATGTATGTAAGTAGGTGTGTATGACTGTGTGTATATACGTATGCATGTATGCCTTGATATATGTATGTACGCATGTATGTATGTATGCATGTATGCGTGTGCACACGCATGTATGCATGCAGGGTATGCATGCATGCATGCATGCGAGTATGCATGCATGGGTATGTGTATGCGTGTGTATATGTATGCATTCATGTATGCATGTATTCATGCATTAATGTATGCACGTATAGGTATGTATGAATGTATGCATGCATGTATGTTTGTAGGTCTGCACACATATGTATGTATGCATGTATGTATGCATGCATGCATGCATGTACGTATGTATGTACGAATGTATGTATGCATGCATGTATGTATGTATGTATGTATGTATGTATGTATGTATGTACGTACTACACATGCATGCATGTAGATATGCACGCACGTATGTATGTATGTATTTCTGTGTATATGTATGCATGTCTGTACGCATGCATGCCTGTATGTAAGTATGTAATTATGTAATTATGTCAGTATGTATGTATGTATGTATGCATGCATGCATGCATGCATGCATGCATGTATATATGTATGTATGTATGTATGTATGTATGTATGTATGTATGTATGTTTGTATGTATGTATGTATGTATGTATGTATGTATGTATGTATGTATGTATGTATGTATGTATGTACGCATATAGGTATGTATATAAGTATGTAGGTAAATATGTGTGTACGTATGTAGGTATGAATATATGTAATGATCACAGGCGGGCAAGAGTTCTGGAACATCACAAAGACTGCCTGCAACTGGAACTTCAAAGACTGGACCAAAGCTCGAAAGCTGGGCGAGGGCTGCTAAAACCGTGGCTTCTAAAACGGCCCTCTCGGAAGGAAAAAACAACTTCCCGGAATGAGGCGCGGCACGCGAAACAGTCAACGGGCTTCTTCCCGGAAGGACGAAGACAATTTCCCGGAGGTCGATTTTAGCAGCCACGGATTTGGCAGCCTTTGCCGGGCTTCCGAAAAGCGGTGGCTGACTCCTTGTCGGGCGCGAGACTGCTCCCAGCTTGCTGTATCGGATGTCTTAAACGGATCACGCTTGCCTGAGCCTGGATATCACATAGTCGGCGGACAAGGAACGCACGCCACTGACAGAAAGGCCCAACCCCGGCACGCGCTCGCAAAATTCACACATGACACAAATGGAGTCAGCCCGTATCCGCTCCTGCGAGAGTCATCAACTAACTGATAAGCAATATGTGAGCAACGCGAGAGCGACGTGCCCTACACACTGACAGGCCAGTCGTAACTGACGCGACCCCCTGCGGAACCGAGCCTCGAAAGATAAAAACGGGTGCCACTGGGCCTTGCTGGATCTGCCAGTCGGGAAGCGCGAAAGGGAGCCGGTTGAGCGAGCTATTTTGGGCCTCAGAAATATGCTCGTGTTTCGTACTAGGGTCCACTTCAAGTGCGGACCAAAGAGGGTTCACCCAGGCACATTCGAAACTTGCGTCAGCTACGCTCCAGGGGATGCCCGAGTGGCCCGTGTCGAGGATGACTGCCTCAAAATTGAACGCACGAAACGAGCCTGGCCATGACAAAACGCGATTGGAGCCCGCTATCAGCGGCTCTGAGTCGGACAGCACATGGACCGCATCGTCCCCTGAGGTCTCCAGCCAGGACACCAGCGCGTCACCATCGTTGGCCACAGTGCGGCGCTGTCAGGCCGTCGCGGATACGTTGTAGACGTCCTCTGCGCGCCAGGCCTCCTGTGAGGACGATGGGGACGACTTGGCCACTCCCAGGAGAAAAACGTCGAAGCTGACGAGGCCATCGAAGAGGCGGCCTGGTTTCCCCGAGCTCCCCGCCGAGCTCGCGGACTCGGGGACCGACGCCGCGGAGCCCAGCAGCGCCGAGGCGCGCGCGAGGGGCCCCAGTCCCAACCACGAGGCGAGGACGAGCACGTTCGTGGCCGCGCCTCCTCTGGTCGGCACGGCCGCGGCCAGCCCAGCTCCACTCCAGCGCCGCGCGCGCCCCCCGCCCAGGTCCTGGCCTTGCCCGGGCGGGCCGCGCCCGAGCGCCTAGGGGCCGCGCGCGGGGGCCCCGCCGCGGCCCCCCGCGGCCGCCGGCGCTGGAACCAGCACGCCCAGCTCCTCGCGGGCCTCGGCTTCGGCCGCGGTCGGCGGCACTTCCCGAGCCTCCGCCGCCTCTTGGGGCGGCGCTGCTGGCGGATCCGCCGCTGGGGGAGGTCGGGGCGCTGCCGCCGCCGAGGGGCCCGCCGAGGGGCCCGGCGTCGACGCCCGACTCGGGCGTGGCTCTGCCTGCGACAGCCCTGCGCTCGTGCACCTGGTGATGATGTCGCTGGCGGCGACCGCGTCAATGTAGACCCTGGTGGGGCTCTCTGGGATCCACCTGCCTGTCTCCTTGGTCTCGGTGAAGGACGCCCCGTCCGCCGCGGGGTCAGAAGCGCATCCCGCACGGGGAGGGTGGGGCGTCCACCCCGCGGTCACGCCCGAGCTCCCCACCATGGTCTGGAGCGTGCGGCGGCAGCGGTCGATCGAGTGTGGGCAGAGGCAGGCCGAGGTCGGCGTAGCGGCAACGAGGCGAGACATGAGACGGATGGGAACCTCCTTCTTCGCGTATGATGACAAACGATCTGGCTCTGTGCCCCAGTCAGCCCGATTGACACGCCCTCTGGACTCTTCCTTGCGGGCCGCAGATCAAAAAACAAGTATGATGACAAACTGCGCTCTCTTTGCCTTGGTCCCCAGTCGGGGTCCCAGGGCGATGACCATGTTGCGTTGCAGCGATGCTCCTCCAGACCTCGACGGCAATGTGATGTCTTCGGGTCGCATTGTCAGCATCTCTGAGGGTCGAAATCCACGTTTGGCTTGCAGAAAGGTGCCCGCACCCAGGCGGAACTGGCCTTGGCTGGCCCACCTCTGCCCCAATGAGCGCAGCGGGCCCACGGCCGAGCGGCACCTTATGCTTTGTCTGTGTATTCACAGCCCAGCCCGCCGGCACGGCCCTTGCCCAGTGTAGGCGTCCCTTGAATCTGGGAAAACAGAACTCCACGCTCGCCAGCAGATGCGTGAAGTGGCTGCGCGAGAGGCCTGCTTCGTTCTTGAACTCCACAAGCAGCTTGTCCCAGGCCTCAGCGCAGTCGGGCTGGAAGTTGCACTCTTCCAGCCACGTGGAGCATGTAGTCCCAGCGGCTCGGTGCCTGGCGAGCATCGCTGGGGTGATCTTGCTAGTTGCATGCGGATCGAGGCGACGTGGTCCCGTCACTCCGCTCCGCTCCCTGCTCATCTGCGCGAGTCAAGCGACAGACCCAATGAGCAGGCTGCTTGCTGGGCTCGATCCACGGGATGATGAGTCGAATCCTGGCCGCCAGGCAGGCGGCGGTCTTCTGACGTAGTAGACGGTTGACCTCGAAAGCCGGCGAACGCCCCTTCATCCTGGCCCCTGCCACGGGCCTGTTGCCCTGCAGCGAGAGGATCACTGACGTGTGCATCTGGGGTGTGAGGGCCATCCTGCGCGCCGGCCTCACCGCTGCTCGGCCTTCCCCCAAGGTGATGTGGTCCGCGCGGGCCCAGCGGCCGTGCTCCACCACCTTTTTGTCAACCTGTCCGTTGAACAACTCCTGAGGCAACTTGGTGAACGGTACGGTACGCCTGATCGCCTTCTCGGGGCCCTTCGAACTCGCGAAGCTGCCGTCCAGCTTGGCCACGGTGAAGCCCGCGGCCACTCCAGCATCTACCGACTCGAACTTCACTTTGTTGGAGACATTCCCCGCTGCGATGCCGTGCCCGCCGTTGTCGAGCTCCGAGGCCCTCATGGCGTCCGTGGCGAAGAACGTGTTTGCCAGCGGCGCTGGGGAACAGGTCGAGGAACTTGAAAACAGCAGAGGGGATGCTGAGCAGATCCCTCCCGAGCAACGCTTCCCGCGCCCGAGACCCCACAATGGACCGTGCGTCGTCGGTGTGGACCCGCTCGGCCCTCGCCAGTCGCTCCAGCTCCTGCGCGATGGCCGCCCTCTTCTTCCTAGGCGGCCTCCGACTGGCGGTCGCTGAACCACCTCGTAGCCCGCGACCTTCGTCAGCTCCTCCGCTGGGGCGCGGTCGTCCACGCCGAAACCCATTGCTTCCAGCTCGTCGGCGAGCTGCTCCATCAGGCTGTCCGCGGCCCCGGGGTGTTCGCCCGAGCCCGTGCGCGCGCCGTCGTCCACGTGCAGGTAGAAACCCAGCTGCCGCTGACGTAAAACCAGCCCTCGTCCTCGTGCTGCGTCTTCATTCCGAAGGGCCACCGACCGATGTAGCGGGCACCGCTCAACCCAGGCTGAAACCCTGGGTCTGGCGCCCTCAGGGACCTGGCCACTAGTGGGCCCGGCGTTCTCGGCGTGGAACCCTTGCAGCGCGTGGAACACCATGGGGGCTAACTTGTCGCAGGGCTTGCCAGGGTGCGTCTGCGGCCGGCTCGCGTTGAAATCGCCGAGGCTATCCTTTCCGTCGGACCGAGCGCGCGCATGACCACCTGCGCACCTCTCGCCGTTCAAGCCGTCCAGGCCTCGCGGCGTGCCGGACGTGCAGGTGGCCTTCTTGGCCAGACCGCCGAACTGGCACTGGTCGAACACGGCTCGGGTGGCCCCCGCCCGCTCCTCCAGCGCCCTCATCTCCGGCGTGTCCCACAGCGAGGGGAAGGGGAAAACCCCCGGGTCCTCCCGGTTCTCCACGAGGTGGCAGCCCCCGTTCACGATGACCGCCTCGCACGTGGCCATGAGGTTCACAGCGGGCACGTTGGCCTCGAGGATATGGCGCTGCCCCCGCGGCCTGAGGCCGGGTCGGCCCCAAACCCAGTGGCCGCGGTGACGCTTAGGTCTGGGCCCTTGTCCTGGGCGGCTGCGGCGCATTCGTGAGAATGTTGAGCACGGAGGGCCGCCCAGGACCACGTCGATGAAGCCCCCCTTGCGCGAGCTCATCAGCTCGCCGAGCGCGTCGGGCATGGTCAGGTCCCAGGCCGCATCCTTGGCGAGGTCCGCGGAGAGGATCAGCAGCTCCATGCCAGCTCCTTCGCAGCGTGGCTCCAGCTGCGCTTGCGCGTCGTCGCTCCGCCGCTCGCCGGCGAAAAGGTGCATGGCCGCGAACGCGCGGCCGTGGTGACGCCTAGCCTCGCGGGCGGCTCGGGACCAGCTGGCCGCCGTGTAGCCGGACTGCCCTGCGCCCATCGACTCGGCCGCATCGTTCTGCTGCGCGCAGTCCTTGCCATCCATGCTCGGGTCCCCTGGGTCGCCCTCCGCAGGCCGCGCTCGTCCAGGCTGGGTTGCCCGAGGGTCGCCGCGGTCCTGCGCCAGCCGAGCGCCCGCCCCCATGAGCGCCCGGCCCGCCGTGGTGAGGTTGATGGACATCAGGATGTGCGCGGAGTGGGAGCCGCCAGTGGCCGGGCGGTGGTGCAGTGGTGCCACCCACCCCTGCTCCGTGACCTCCTGCCGCACCTCTGGGGACAGCGGCTGCCATGCGCGCCGGGCCTTCAGCGGATGGGGTGGCCTGCCGTTGAGCGTGCCACTGCGGGGCGCGGATCCTGGGGAACGCGTTGTTCTCGTCAAACGCAGCGGTCTCCCAGTGGTCCGCGGGTGCCGCCGCCCGTGCCAGCGCCTCTCCTCCCACCAGGCCGTGGCCGGCCCGCTCCTTGGGGTCGATCCACGTGTAGTTGGCGGGGGCGTTCATCAACACCTTGCGCTGTTTCGTAGGGTCCTTCTCGGGTGCGGTGCTAAGACCCACGAACGCAATTGCCCGTGGGGCGGGGGCGAACGACCACATCCCCCTGGGAAGGTCCTCGCGGCGCAGGTGGGTAGCGTAGTCTTCCTCCGTGCCGTTCGCGAAAGCGTGCTGGTCCTCCAGCTCGTAGAGCACGGCGTCGGCCTTGCCCGCGTAGGAGACCGCGTTGGCCTCGTGCTCGTAGAAGCGCCTCTCGTGCTCCGGATGCGTCGAGAGCATGTCCACAATGGAGTCGTCTTTCGGTTCGTCACTGTCAAGAGGTCGCATCGGTACATTGGTGACCCGCATGGCCCCTGGAGCTCGGCTGTAGCTCTCAGGGCCAGCGACCTCCTGCACGTGTCCGTCGGGTGGGCCGCCTGTCAGGCGGAGGCCCCGGCAGTCGCGCTCGAAGCTGGCCGCCTCCTTCTGCATGAAGGCGTGCGCGCTCCTCCAAGCCGCTCTCGTCGTGATAGATGTCCTGGCGGTGCGGCTCGTCGACGCCGTCCGAAGGTGGCCCGAGTCTAGGCCGTTGATCAAGTCAACCATGCCTGCTGCCCGTCGCCGCGCCCGCATGCGTCGTGCCACGCGGGTGCGGAGGCGGCCGCTGAGGCCGCCGCCCCGCTGAAGAGGTCGTGCTGGTGGAGGTGCTGGGCACGGGGCGTCTTCTATCGCCGGCAGCTTCTGGAAGAACTCGGCATCCAAGGGGCGAGCCTGGGCTCGGTGGCCCGCGGGCGCCCGTCGTAGGGGTGCCGTGCGGGGCGCCAGGGGAGGGCTCGAGGTGCTCCCCTGGCCCCCTGCGCGTCGTCAGCCCTGGGGGCGGCCGCGCCCTGGCGGGCCTCGGCCGGGACCGCCCCCCCCGCGCTCCGCCACGGGCGGCGCCTGCGCCGCCACCTCTGTCAGCTGCTCCCTCGGGTCCTCCACCATGCCCTCCTCGTTCCGGCCCTCGTCCAGCAGCTCCTCCGCCGCCGCGTGCAGCTCCGCGGCCTCCCTGGGGTCAATTGGCTGCCTCGGCCCTCTCGGCCCCCTGGTGCTCCATCTTCGAGTGGGCCGTGGCCTCCGTGACGAGCCAGGTCGGGGCCGGGTCGATCCCGGCCCCGGGAGGGGGAATGGCGAGCATCTTCTGGGCACCCGACTTGTCGCCCGTCCGCTTGTCGCACGCGTAGCTCGCGATCCTCCTTAGGTTCATCTCCAGCCCGTCGTCGCTGGCCAGCAGGTTGAGCAGCTCGACCTGTGATTTGACGCGGGCCGTGGCGAAGTCATTGGGCGTGGCAGCGTTCCAGAGGTCCGCCCACAGCTGAGCACTCCTGCTGCCGGTTTTTCTCTTGCGCCAGCCAGTCTCGTGCCGATGCCGCCCCCGCGCTCCGCGTGTATCGGCAGATCTCGGGGGCGGCCCTCTTCAGGTCGGGCGGGGGGCTCGCGTTCCACCTGGCGATCTCCTGGTCCTGAGCGAGGCCGAACTCGCCAGGCGAGAGCAAGCTGTTCCCGTCCAGCGTGCCCATGCCGTGGGCGGGCTTGGCGTGCAGCGCGACCAGCTCCAGCTCGCCTTTGAGTGACTCCCGTGGCGGCGATCTGGTGGCGGGGCCCACGTAGCCGTGAGACATCAGCAGTCGCGTGGCCTCCTGCTCTCTGCCTTGTGGGCATCCGCCGCCCACTGCCAAAAGGACCGCGGCCAGCATGGGTTGGTGGACTGCTGCGCCATCGCCGTCATCAGGGCCTCCTGCGCCCGCGCCGCGTGGGTCTTCACCTTCGGCTGGTAGCCAGGGGCGATGGGGGCATGCGCGCCTGCGGTATCCGCTGCAGCTCCCGCGGCCGTCCTCGAGAGAGGTCCCTCGGGCGCACGGTTCTCCACGAAGTCGAGGAACGCCTCCACCGATCCGCTGTCCGCGGGCGCGGGCGTCGTCCCAGGCAGGGCCGCGGGCGGCGGTCCCGCAGGCGGCAGCAGCGGTGGGGGGAGCAGTGGAGCCAGCGGCGGCGGCTCAGGTGCGGTCTGGCCTGCGGCCGACGGCCCGCCCGCCCGCAGCCTTTCGTTCCCCGCCCGCAGCTCCGCGAGGGCCTTGGCCTCCTGGCTCCCGGTGGGGGCCGCCAGTCTCGTGGGCTTGGTCGCGCCGTCGCTCTCGGACACGTCGCCGCGCTCCACGGCCTGGTCCTCGGCGGCCCTGAACGCCCGGCGCCTGCACCACACGTGCCAGCGCGTGCGGGCGCTGCGCCAGCTGCCCTGGACCATCGCCAGCTTGCACCCCACCCCCGTCAGGTAGCCAAGGAACCGACTCCGTCACGTCTCGGCGCCCAGGAACCGCGGCAGTAGCCACGGCCAGGACGCCCGCCCAGCCCACAAGCTTCTCGTTGTAAGCTGGCGAGCGTCCCTGGGGGTCCTCGCCGATCACCTGGGAACGCAGGGTCATCGCCATGTCATTTCAGACCTCCAGGTCGTCGGGCAGAATCCTGAGCTTCTCGGCGCAGCCCGTGCCCTTGATGGCCTCCTGGTAGGCCTCCCACAGCATGTCGCCGAAGTGATCCACCTCCAGGGGGACCTTCAGCGTGAGCCAGCGGGCGAAGGGCTCGGCCGCCACGGAGACCAGCTCGACCTCTGCGACCGACCCCGCAGAACCGCCGTCCCCGATCGCACGGCGACAGGCCGTGATCGCGGCCGACATGTCGCGCCCCTCCGGGCTCGCAGCTCCCCCGCGGGTGGTGACCGTCTCGGCAGCCGCCCGTCTGGATGCCGGACTCGGCTGCATCTCCCGTGGTGTGTGAGGCCCTCAGCAGCTCGCCATCTCGCTCCTTGGGCTGGGGGGCGCGACAGGTGTGGCCGCGAGCCACTGGGGCCCTGGCCCCGAAAAGTTCTCGAGGACAGACAGTTGCAGAGCCCCGCCCGCCCGACTCGAACTCAACATCTCATTCATGCACGTGCATGCTGCTCTCTCCCATATGTATGCGTGTATATACGTATATATGTACGCATGCATCCATGCATGCATGCATGCATGCATGCATGCATGCATGCATGTATGTATGTATGTATGTATGCATGTATCTATACATGTATGTATGTGTGTAGGTAGGTAGGTAGATATTCATGTATGCCTGTATGCCTTTATGCCTGTATGCCTGTATGCCTATATGCATGTATGCATGTAAGCATGTATGCATGTATGTATGTATGTATGTATATACGTATACGTGAATTTATGTATGCAGGTATCTAGGCATGTACGTTTGTTTACATCTATGTATGTTTGTACACTCACGTACGTATGCATATTTGCATGCATGCATGCCTGTAGGTATGCATGTATGCATGCATACATGCATGTATGCAGGCATGTATGCATGTTTGCATGTATGCATGTATGTATGCATGCATGCATGTATGCATGTACTACCGTATGTATGCATGTGTGTATGTAGGTGTATATGCATGTATGTATGTACGTATGCAGGTCGGTCGGTAGGTAGGTAGGTAGGTATGCATGTATGTATATGTATATGTATATGTATATGTGTATGTATGTATAAATGTATGTATGCACATATGTATGCATGCATGCATGCATGCACGTACGTATGCATGCACGCATGCATGTATGTATGTATGTAGGTATGTATGCATGCATGCATGCATGTATGTATGTATGTATGTCTGTATATGTGTGTATATGTATGTATGTATGTATGTATGCATGCATGCATGCATGCATGCATGCCTGTATGTATGTATGTATGTATGTATGTATGTATGTATGTATGTATGTATGTATGTATGTATGTATGTATGTATATATTTATGTATGTATGTATGCATGTATGTATGTAGGTATGTATATATGTGTGTGTATGTATGTGTGTATGTATGTATGTGTGTATGTATGTATGTATGTATGTATGTATGTATGTATACATGTATGTATGTATGTATGTATGTATGCATGCATGTATGTAGATTGAGGTATGTGATTTTAGGTTTGTATGTACGTACGTATGTATGTATGTATGCATGTATGTATGTACATGTTACGTTTGTATGTATATGAGCGTATACAGACATAAACATATGTATGTATGTATGGATATATATGTATACGTATATATCTATATATATATATATATATATATATATATATATCGGTCCCTGTATGCCCCACTACCCCCATGATCATTGGCTCTCGGAAGAGGCAAGGGAAGATCATGGTGTGGTGCGGTGCAGGACACGGAGGCTGTGGAGTCGAAGGGTAATTCTTGACGCTTTCCGTATCCCCACCAGCTTGTCCTTGTTCCCAGTTAGCCTGTGGTACCCTTCAGGCTCCATGGATCGGTGCCCTCTGGACTCCCATTGCTGGACGGCTTCCTACCGCGACCCTGGATCAGTGGCTTTGTGGGACTTGCCTGGGTATACACGGTCTCGTTCCGCCTGTGCTCTCCGTCCCTTTGGACTGCACTGTGACACTGTGGTGTGCACACGCCGCGTTTCGACGGGTAGCGTGCATCAGGTGCCCTTCCACCCGCTGGGTCTGGGCCGAAACATCTCGGTGTGGTAGTCTTCTCGGAACATGGATACACCTTGATGTCGTTCTGGCGCCGCGGCTCGCTGCCGCCGTCGGGATCCTCGTTGGACTTACCACCTCGTCGTCTGTGCTACCCGACAGGCTGGGGCTGACGTCCTCGGGTCGTTCCCTTGTCCGCACCTGGACGTTGGAACGTTATCGCGCCATTTTGGCTGCGCTAGGTGGTCTCGGTGCCTATCTCAGGCCTGTTGGACGCAGCTGCATGCCCGTTCAGGGGCTGTCATGGCACCTGGATTGCATCGGCTCCGGCCCCCTGGACGCTGCCGTGAGCCGCCTGATCCGCGGCCCTGCGCGCGTTAGGTAATTTAGTCGCGTCCGCGGCCCGTTCGCGACCTTCCGCCGCTGGCGCTTCCGCCTGCGGCTGAAAAAAAAAGAAAAAAGTATCCCCACCAGCCCACACAGACATGATCGGAGGCTTTATGGAGTCTTCTTGGAGGCCGTTTTGAGTCATGCTCGGCTAGAGGCTGTCGGAGGCCATCTTGAGCCATGCTCAGCTATCTTGGTCCATCTTGAGGCTGCCTTGGGGCCTCTCGGAGGTCTGTCGGAGACTATCTTGAGGCATGGTCGACCTCCTGGGACCATCTTGGGGGTAGGAGGAGGAGGAGGTGGAGGAGGATGAGGATGAGGAGGAAAAAGAGACAAGGTGGAGGGGGAAGAAGAGGAGGATGAGGAATGCGGCACGAGGAAGAGGAGGTGAGGAGGAGGAGGAGGAGAAGGAGGAGGAGGAGGAAGAGGAATAATGATAATATGAAGAATGCGCTTAAGACGAGTCATAAACATAACACTATTGATAATAATAATAAGGCGAATTATAACATTAATGAGAAACATACCCAGCCGAATCATAGTTTTAACATTTATATTAAGAACAGCACACTTAAGACTACTGACAATAGTAGTACTGAGAATAATGATAATACATACGAATGATAATGATAATACATACGAATACGAATGCTGATATCAACAATAAGGAGAAGAAGACGAGGATGAGGAGGAGGGAGGAAAGAAGGAGGGAAGAATCGGACGATGACAAGGAGGATGAGAAGTCGGGCTTCGGATATATGATCGCGGGCTCCGGGCCCACGGCCCCCCCCCCAGATGGGATGGGTCCCAGGGTCCTCGGGCCCCCCCCCCCAGATGGGATGGGGGGGGGGAGGAGGAGGAGGAGGAGGAGGAGGAGGAGGAGGAGGAGGAGGAGGAGGAGGAGGAGGAGGAGGAGGACGACGACGACGGCGACGACGACGAAGACGAAGGCACCGTCCGCTCCGGCTCCCTGAAGCACCGGAACACAACGCCACACCCAGAAGGAGGCGATGACGGTGAAGACACTGTCGACGACGATGTTCCTTTTCCTCCTCCCCCCATCCGCCTCTCCATCTCTCCCTCCTCGTTTTTGGCCCTCTCTTCCCTACCTTGCTCCCCCCTCTCGCTTCCTCTCCCCATGTAGCCGCCACTCTCTGGAGGCAAAGGCTGAGGACGACGACGATGGCGAAGACGCCGACGACGACGACGACGACGACGACGACGACGACGACGACGACGACGACGCCGACGACGACGACGACGACGACGACGACGACGACGACGACGACGACGACGACGACGACGACGACGACGACGACGACGACGACGACGACGACGACGACGACACGACGGCGGCGGCGGCGCCAGCGACGCCGACTCGTGGCTGAGGCGGGCCCCTAACCACCGCACGCCCACAGGGGGGACCCCACACCACTCCCACGGGGTGGGGGGCCATCGCGCGGGGGGGGGAGAGGGGGCCAGATGGCATGAGCATGGGGGGGCGGGGGCCCAAACCCTCGACCATACATGTTGTTGTGAGAGGTCCTTGGAGGACGACTCAGGCCATCTTAGGGGCTCTCTTAGGGTCCCGTGGGGCCTCTTGGGGCACTCTTGGAGCCCTCTGGGGGTCTTGGGGCCATCTTGTGGCTCATTGGAGGGGTATGGGAGGCCTCTTGGCCCTCATGGCTCGAAAAGAGTGGGGGTGGGGGCAATTCAAGTCCCCCCGGAGACTCAAAAATTGATTCTTGAGGCCCTTTGGGGCCGCTCTTGGGCGTCTCTTGGGCGCTCTTGGGGCCATCTTCGGGCGCTCTTGAGCCCCTCTTGGGGCTCTCTTGGACCATCTGGGGGCCCTCTTGGGAGGCCTCAAACGCCCGTCGGAAGCGAAACAGCGAGATGGCGAAAACATTGTTTCCCTTCAGGTTTTTGAATGAATTCGGCCTCTTGGAGGGTGCCTAGGAAGGCTCGAAGGGCACTTGGAACCGTCTTGGTGCTGTCTTGGGGCCTCTTGGAGGTAGGTAACAGGCTATATTGAACCATTTTCAGCTATCTTGAGCTATCTTGGAGGCCGTCTTGGGCTGCCGAGGGCCCTCTTGGAGCCATCTTGGGCCCATCTTGAGGCTCTAACTACCCGGACCCCTCTCCTCCCACGCCCAGGGGAGGGGGTAGGGGGGAAGGGGTAAACCCCTCCCCCGAGCAGGGGAAGGAGGGGGAGAGAAGGCAAAACTCGTTAAACCACCTACGCCCAAAGGGCTGGCGAGATTTCAAACTTGGCTTGGGGATGGTGCTTAATGAGTAACGCGTGTGGTGTTGGAGACGGGGGGGAATTGAGTAGTGGTATTTTCAAGTTCACCTTTGGGAGGGAGCCTGTTGAGTAGCGCGTGTGGCGTTGGAGATGGAGGCTGTTAAGTACCGGGTGTGGTGTTGGAGACGGAGTGATTCGAGTAGAAGGATATTTCCAGGCTCTTCTTAGGGAAGGAGCCTGGTTAGTAGTGGGTGTGGTGTTGGAGATGAAGGCTGTTGAAGTTGGGTGTGGTGTCGGAGACAGAGGGAGTTGAGCAGAAGGACATGTTTAAGTTCATCTTGGGGAGAGCCTGATGAGTAGTGAGTGCGGTGCTAGAGATGACGGCTGTTGAGTGGTGAGTGTGGTGTTGGAGACGGAGGGAGGTGGGTATACATAATGGCATTTCCGAGTTAATTTTGGAAGGGGGCTTGTTGAGTAGTGGATGCGGTGTTGGAGACGAAGGCTGTTGAGTAGTGTGTGTGTGTGTGGTGTTGGAGACGGAGGCAATTGAGTAAACGGAGAGAATCAAGTTCAGACTGAGGAGAGAGTCTGGTGAGTAGTGAGTGTCGTGTTGGATACGTTGCCTGTGGAGTATCGGATTTGGTGTTGGAGACCGTAAAAAGATTTGAGCAAGAAACCTCAAACGTGAATGCGAGAAACGTAAGAGCCATATATGAATTCATATGTATACCTCACCAAGGTGGGGACTGGAGACGAAGGCTGCTAGAGACGGAGGGAGTTGAGCAGACGTATGTTTTTCTGTTCGTCTTGGGAAGAAGGCCTGTTGATTAGTTGGTGTGGTGTTGGAGGCGAAAGCTGTTGAGTAGTGGGTGTGATGTTGGAGACGGGGGGAATTGAGTATAATCATATGTTCCAGTTCATCATGGGGAGAGGGCCTGCTGAATAGTGGGTGTGGAGTTGGAGACGAAGGCAGTTGAATATTGGTGCGGTGTTGAAGGCGGAGGGACTTGAGTAGAAGGCTATTTTCATGTTCATCTTGGGGAAGGAGCCTGTTGAGTAGTGGGTGTGGTGCTGGAGATGAAAGCTGTTGAGTGGTGTGTGTGGTTTCGGAGACGGATCGTGTTAGAAGGATACTTTCAAGTTCATCTGGGGGAGGGAGCCTGCCGAGTGGTGGGTGTGGTGATGGAGACGAAGTCTGTTGAGTATTGCGTGTGGTGTTGGAGACGGAGAGAGTTAAGTATAATCACATTTGTAATCATAGTTTCAAGGTCATCTTTGGTGAGGGAGCCTGTTGAGTATTGTGTGTGGTGTTGGAGACGAAGGTTTTTAAGTATTGTGTGTGGCGTTGGAAACGGTGTGGTGTTCGAGGCGTAAGCGCGAGCACCAACACGGGCGGAGCCCCGAGTGATGCGGAAAATGTTGAGGAGAAGAATGCGACGACGAATTTGAACCAAGAAAGCGGCTGCGTGGACGGCCTGTTGGACGGTCCTCTCTGGGGCACTGCGAAAAAGCACGTTTGCTACGTAAATTCATGGAGTAAGCGAGAAATGGGGCATCATGGCATGGAGCGGGTTTTATATACTACTTATTGTGTACCGTTCACGTCTGTTTCTGGATCCCCCGCAGGCTTCCTCCTGCAAAGGCATAGCCATGACCGGCTCGATTCTCCAAGGCGGCACTCTGATCGCGATGTACACTGGGCCTGACGAGTGGCAAGCCGGCTACAAGGCCCCGGGCGTCCTGGGCCAAGGATTGGTGCATGTACCCTTCTCCTTAAGTCAGTAAATTGTGATGAGGATGAGGAGTGAGGATGCGGAGGAGGAGGAGGTGGGGTATGAGGATGATGATGAGGATGAGGAGGAGGAGGAGGAGGAGGAGGGGGAGGAGGAGGAGGAGGGGGAGGGGGAGGAGGAGGAGGAGGAGGAGGAGGAGGAGGAGGAGGAGGACGAGGAGGAGGAGGAGGATTAGTTTAGATGAAGGACGAGGAGGGGGAGGAGGAGGAGGAGGAGGAGGAGGAGGAGGAGGAGGAGGAGGAGGAGGACCAGTGTAAACCCAAGACTTATCAACGAGGTTGGAATAACCCCTCCCTCCAAGCTCTCTCATAGGCCCCTAGAAAGAATCGTTCCCGCTGATGGAAGTGTCCCGTTGGGAGACAATCGTTTGACGATCCTGAATCGTGCCGAAGCTTGCCAAAACACGATTCTTGGGACCCCAACGCCACGAATCGACCTGACTGTTGATACTTGACGATCCTGAATCGTGCAAGAGCACCATCCCTGGGACTTTAACACAGCGAATCAACGTAACTGTTGCGCCCTAACAGTCCTGAACCGTTCCAAAACACAATTCCTGGTACGTTGACCATGGGAGTCCGTGAAACCTTTGCAAATGTTTAAGACGAATGTGCACTGCGCGAAGGAGAGCCCCATTTTGAAAAGAAGCCGCCCTCAATCCGTGAAGCTCTTGCACTTTAGGCGAGAGCAACATTTTGAAAACGGCCCGCCCTCAACCCGTGAAACTCTTGTAAGGTTTTAAGACGAATGTGCGCGGCGCCAAGGCGAGAGCCACATTTTGGGAACGGCCCGTCTTCAATCCGGTAAGCTCTTGCAAAGGCGAGTGTGCGCGGCGCTGAGGCGAGAGCTACATGTTGAAAACCGCCCGCCCTCCATTTTTGAAATGTTGCCATGTTTTGAGCTTCAGGGCCACGGTGATTGCTGCGCGCAAGCGTGTGCGCGGAATTGCAGACAACAGTATCGGAGGTATGCCGTAGGCGGGGGCAACGTTAAACTCTGGGCGATTGGGTGCCATCTGGGATCGTGTCAGGGGCCTTCTGGGTCGGGGGCCCTCCTGGGCCGTCCGCAGTGCTTTGTGGGCCGTGTTTGGACCATTTGGTCTGGGTCGGGTTTTTCCCCACCGGACAGGTTGGGGTCGTTAGGTTTTAAGAACAGACCTCCCGGCCACTCCCACCCTGCATACCGCGGCCGCCAGACCCCAAGTTGTTCCGAGTGTCCCGGTTATCCCGCTTCGCGCCTTCGACAGACACGACAGAACACACCCTGCATACCGCGGCCGCCAGACCCCAAGTTGTCCCGAGTGCCCCGTTATCCCGCCTCGCGCCCTCGACAGACACGACAGAACACACCCTGCATATCGCGGCCGCCAGACCCCAAGTTGTCCCGGGAGTCCTGGTTATCCCTCCTTGCGCCCTCGACAAACACGACAGAGCACACCCCGAATATCGCGGCCGCCAGACCCCAAGTTGTCCCAGGAATTCCGGGTATCCCGCCTCGCGCCCACGACAAACACGACAGAACACAATATGACACAACAGAACATGACAGAACAGAGCAAGAGCATGACAGAACATGGCAGCACAGAACATATCAACCTCATGACAAAATAGAGGACACCAGCATATCACATAACATACGATAGCAGAACATGACCTAACAGAACACGACAGAAGACAAAATAATATAACATAACCGAGCATAACCTACGACACATCGACATAGCATAGCATATCATGACACAGCGTCACCAAACAACTCATAAGACGACAACAGAGCATAGCGGCGAACTCGCCAGACCACAACATGTCACACCAGAAGATAACATCACACGAACATGCCATAGCATGACAGAACATACATGGCAATCTCATGACACAACAGAGTATGATAGAACATCAAATAACACAACGTGGTAGAGCACAAGGCGATATAGCACAACATATCATAGCATAACCGAGGACAACATAAGACACCTTGGCAGATCATCCCACATCATTGCACTTCATCGCATAACATATCTTAGCACGACAGTATAGCATATCGCCACATACTAGCATAGCAGGTCATAATATCTTATACTTTGCCGAACCGTCCACAAACACAACATCACATAACATACCATCCAATAGCATGACATAACATAAGACGACATAACACAGCACAACATAATACCACCGAGCATCACATAACAACACTATGACACGACACAGCATATCATGACACAGCATCACATAACATATCATAACACGGCACCAGAGCATTGCGAAACACATTAGCAGAGCAGATCATACCATAATGTACTGAATCGAGCCGTCAACAGCATCACATAACAGAGCATACTATAACATATTATGTCAGCACATCATGAGAACATAGTGCCGCAACGCAGATCATACCACAACATCTCCAACCATATGGTGACATGTATGAGCACAGCACAGCATATGCAACCAGAAGAGAAACATATAGGTGAAGAGGGGCATCACAACAGACGACGCATCTAACGTCACAGGCGTCACGACGTCACGCCAGCCCGTCGACAACAGAAATGACATAATAAAGCATAACATGAAATATCGTTACTACATGGAACACGGTTGAACCGTTCTTGTATACAGAAACGGCAATAGTGCAGTGGAGGAGAGGAGTACCACGACAGAACAGGACATAGCAACGCATACTAACATATCCCATCATACTGTACTATATTGAGCCGAGCCGGCAACACCATCACGGAACATATCATATTATAGCATAAGTTGGGATACAATATCATGTCCTAACATGGTGCCAAAGGGCAGAGCTTAACATAACGTGCCAAAGTATATTGAGGCAGAAGCGTACATGACAGAGCATATTTTCACGAATGAGATAACGGAAGGGCAGAGGTAGCCAGGCGGGCGTTGAGCTCGAATCGGTAGGGCCCGAAACCTCAGTTTCGAAATGCGCAACAGTGGGGAGGGGGAGGAGGCGGGACACTCAACCGTGGTTCGTTCAGGGCGAGGCGCTGGGCATCTTCTTGCGAGCGGCATCGGCGCCTCAGACGGCCATCTGACCCTGTCGCGATTGAAGTCGTGCAGCGGAAAAGCGCGCCCAGCCGCCTAGGAGGAACCGTGCAGCCCGTTCTGCCGCTTGCCACCATAGATAGCAAGCCGCCGTTGGCGCTCATCGCTGCCAACTTCCTCGGCCTCTCCTGGACGTCGCCAGAGGTCAGCAAGCTTCAGTTGCAGCCGAAATGGCCCGATTCGGCACCGGAGGCGACGGACTGGGCCAGGAGCAACCCGCAGAGCGCTCCGTAGTCGACGATATGCGCCGACCCTTTTGGTCAACGACGAACGTATGACCAACTCTGTGCACAATGTGTGTCACTCCAAATACTAGCGCGACGAGGGGGGGAGAACAACAGACCTGTCTAGCATCCAGCATCGCGCGTGGCGTAAGCTTGTGGAGGTGCTGGCGCAACGCGCGTGGTCGGGCCTGCGCCTCGGGGGTGTGCAGTGCTGGGCGCCAAAAAGCAGGGCCACGGTGCGAGGCACTGGAGGAGGAGGAGGGAGGCAGGAGGAGGTGAGGAGGTGGAGTGGGAGGGAGGAGGCTCGTGAGGGACGGGGAGGCGTTGGCGTGCGTCGATGCTGTGTCGGGGGTGTGCGTGGCCCGCTTCGATGCAGGTGTGCAGTTGGCGTCCATCTGCTGCTCCTCCTTGCTCTCCTCCTCCTCCTCCTCCTCCTCCTCCTCCTCAGCGGGGATGTCAGGCCTCGCGTTCCCGAATGAGTTTAAGGCTCCCTGGTAATCTCTAAATCTCAGACTCTGGTGACCTCAAGCAGACAGCTTTGCCAACTGATGTGGGCATCCGTGTCGACGGCAGCAGCAGCAGCAGCTCCTCCTCCGCCTCCTCTTCCCCTTCCTCTGTCCTCACGTCTCCTCCACTTCTCCTCACCTCATCCTCCTCTTCCCCTTCTTCTTTCCTCACATCTCCTCCTCTTCCCCTTCCTCTTTCCCCACCCCTCCTCCTCTTTCTCCTCGTGCTCGCCCTGCCCGCACCTCGCCCTGGGGGCCAGGCTGGGGGTGCGGGAGCTCTCGGCCTGCCCCACCAGCTCATTTTCCCTCTCCCGCCGATCCCTCGACTCCGATTGGGTGCGGACGCTGCGCAGGCCGTGGCCTGCGGAGCCGGCGCCCCCTGCGCAGGCCCTCGAGGTCCGCCTCGCCGCGGGCACTGGCGCGAAGGGTGTGCCTTGTCCTCCCCTCCGTCTTCGGGGGTTGCCAGAGGTGCCCCTGGCCCAAGGCGCCCCCAGCTTTTCGCTTCATCTTGGAGGCCCTGGGGCCCTCTGGGCCTCGCGAGGGGTGCTCCAGAGGCCGTGGGGGCCTCCTCAGAAATCCTGGGGGCACCTTGGGCCAGGGGCACTTCTAGCAACACCCGACGTCTGTCGCTCTGGTGCCTGTTCGAACTTGTTGTCTCTGCGCTCGGCTAGCGCGGATGATGAAAAAGGGGCTGCTCCGCTGTGGCGGCTCGTCCAGAGGTCATCGTCGAGTCTCGACGCGCGGGGTAGTTCGCACATAAATTGACCATCGTTTGAGCTGTTTCTGATCTTATTCGTGCGACGTTTGGCTCTTAGCAGATCCAGCGCCGCCGCGCCTCCTCCTCCTCCGCCTCCTCCTCGTTCTCTCCCCTTTCCTCTTCCTTCCCTCTCCTCTGCTCTCCTCCCATCTCCTCCCTCCCCTCCCGCTCCCAGGTCTGGTGGAAGGGCCAGCAGATCGTCGCAGACTACCCCTCGGAGTTCTCGGACGACGTCCTGATGGCGAGGTCTCCGCCCCTCCTCCCTCTCGAGCCGGGCCTGCCCAGCGGCCTCCCGCTGCTGGTGCCCTGGGCCGCTGCCCCTCCCCGCCTCCCTCGCGCGCCCCTCCCGTGAGCGGGGCCAGGACGAGGAAAAATCTGCTCCAGAGCGCTCCGGAACGCTCTGAGAACGCTCTGGGAGCGCTCCGAGCAGGCCGCGGCGCCCCGAGGCATCCTGCAGAGCCGCCGGCTCTCCGCGCTTCGACGTATCCTCCGCCGATGCTGTCCTCGGCCTGGCTTCGAGTGCTTCGGCGACCCTCCCCGTCGAGGCCACGGCCTCCACGCCATGCCCTAATTTTGGCACGGGCGGGCTCTCCCCCGGAGGAGCGCGCGCGCCCGCCAGGGGCCTGCTGGCGGCTCTGGAGGCGGCGGGCGCGCCTGCGGTCGCCGGGGGGGGGGGGGGCCGTGGGCCCGGGGGCGGTTCGCCACGCGCCCGGGCGGCGGCCTGCCTCCTCCTCGCCTCGGCTCCAGGTCTCCCCTGCTCTCCTCTGCCTTGCGATCCTCGTCGCCCTCTGCCTCGGCCCTCGGGACGAGCGCGACAAGTGCAGCGAGTGGTCCTCAACGGGGGTGAGAAACTGCCTGTGTCTTCTCTTAGCTCACATGTCGTCCACCACTGCGATTTGCCCGTCCTTGTCGCGCCACCGGACCCGTCGGTAGGGTGGGCTGTGCATTTCGCCTCTGACTTCCTCGCTGCTCATGCACATGAAGCTTGAGCGCTCCAGCAGTCAAGCACACGGAGGTGGAGGTCGGGCTAGCATCATGTGGCTCTCGCCCTGGCGCCGCGCACAGTCGTCTTACAAGCTTGCAGCACCTAAACTTGGAGTGGCACACACGGCATCCCAGTTTTTCCCAAATGTGCTTACTGAGTATTCCCCCCCCGCGGAACTGAACGTGCACTTTATCCTCATGGCCGTGCCCCACGGCTGACTCGCATACTTGCTTACTTGCTATCTTGAGTGCCTGCGCGCTTGCTTGATTGCTGATGTGCTTGCTTGTTTGCTTGCTTGTTTGCCTTCTTGCTTGCTTGCTGGCTTGCTTGATCGGTTGATCGTTTGCTGGTTTGATCAATTGGTTGCCTGTCTGCTTGTTTGCTTGAACCCTGGCTTGCTTTCTTGACTACTTATCTGCATGATCGTGTGCTTGTTTGCCTGCGTGCTTGCTTTCTTGCGCGCGTGCGTGTTTGCTTGCTTAATGCTTGCTTGGTTTTGCTTACTTGCGTGAGTGATGTTTCCTTGCTTGAGAGCCTGCTTGCTTGCTTCGTTACGTTTTGCTTGTCTGCGTGCTTGCCAGCCTAAGTATTTTCGTATGTCCTTGCTTTCTTGCTTGCTTGCGTGCGTTGCTTCTTTGCTTGCTTGCATGCTCGCTTCTATTTGTTCGATCGCGTGCGTGCTTGCGCCCAGACTTTGTGCACCTCAGTACCAACTGCTAACCAACCCTTGTAGCTTGTGCCACACCGGTTTGAAGTTCGCGCTGGTAGACGTATGGCGTATGGCTTTCGCTTTGGCATCGCGCACATTCGCTTGACGTGTTTGCATCATTTGAACTGATGGAGGGTGGTTCCTTCTCAATGGGTCTAGTGCATTCTAAGCAGATTCAGGTGATCCCACTTGTCGGGTAACCTCGGTGCGAGGTCCCCCCCCGCGGAACCAAGTTCGCCCTTTCTCCGCATGGCCATCTCGTACGGCTCGCATTGCGGTCCCGCGCGCTGGTCCTGCATGTCGGTACCTCGTATTTTGCTTGCGTGTTCGCGTACGTGCGTGCTTGCCTGTTTGGGTGTTTGCTCGCTTACTTGCTTGCATGCCCCCCTCGCTTGTGTGCTTCCTTACTAACTTGCTTGCTTGCTTGCTTGCTTGGTGCTTGCGTGCGTGCTTGCTTGCATACATGTCTGCCTGCGAGCTTCCTTTCTTGCATGCCTGATTGCTTGCACGCAGACATCACATGCACCGATACCACCATATCATGTATTCTGTTATAGCAACGCATCGACGTGATGTCAACGCTGGTAGATATCGGACTTTTGCTTGCGAGTTCCGCATGTCCTCAGGTGCGCAGCAGTTGAACGGATGGAGTGTGATTCTTTATCAGAGTAGGGATACCGTTGGGGATTTCCGTATATTCTATGACCCGGCATTTAGGCGTTGCAGAAGTTACACGTACGGAGGGCGGTTCGTTTTCAACATGTGGTTTGGGCTGGGTATCTTTTTTTAACCGTGTACTTCTACATGTTGTCGTGGTGTCTATAATAGCTGCCAGTTGGGGGGCCAGTTCCTTTTCAACACTGAATTCTCGTCTGCATGGCAGTCCCAAAAGGACAACACATGCACATTGACGTGTGTGTGTATATATATATATATATATATATATATGAGGGGGGACTTGGGACGAGAGGGTGAGCTGCAACATCGTTGACGTATCGTGTGTTTACTCTGGCCCTCCTGGTCTCCGTCCTCTGCCGCCGCCCCTTCTCATCTTGTCCCTGGTTGTGTCACTGCATTGGCGAGGTTTGCCGACATGGACCCTAGCGACTACCACACCGATGCTCGGCACACCATCGGAGGTACGTCAGGGAGGCTGCCATCGTTTTCGTTCGAATTCAAACAGTTTAAGATGAACATTTACATGCTTTTGGGTCCTGATAACGTTAACCTTGTCATCGAGATGGAGCGGCTTTCGGTTGCAATGGATGGTGCCTGTGGGAACTTCAACTGTGTCGAAAACGACGACTTCATCGGAAAGCTGAACGAGAGAGGCTTCGGGGTGGCCCTGAATGCACAGCAAAGCATCTTCAGCAAGCAGGCGGATGTGCAGGCTGTCGCGGTGGTGCAGGCGACCATCCCTGACGACCTGCTCCAGTCGTGCGACCAGGCCCGCCGAAGGAGAATGAGAAGGAGGAGGAGGAGGAGGAGGAGGAGGAGGAGGAGGAGGAGGAGGAGGAGCGGGAGGAAGTGGAGGAGGAGGAGGGGAAGGAGGGGAAGGAGGAGGACGCAGGTGATGCGCATTTTGCCAGAGCCCATCGAGAGTTGGGCCCCATCTTGCAGAACCCTCCCGGAGTTCAGGGCAGCTGGTGCAGGAAACTGGCACCAGGACCAGAAAGGAATGGCCTGCCAGACAGACGCGCCGTGCCCCCTGCCACTCCTCGCCTCCTCCTCCTGCTCTCAGTCACACTGCCCCCCTGCTCCCTCTCCAGCTGTTGCTGCTGCCGCTGCGCCTCCACGCGCCACCTGGCCCTGCAGAGGCCGTGGCTCCCCCGACGCCCGCCCGCGTCGACCCCCCGCCGTCGAGGCGCCCGCCCGCAGCCACCACGAGGCCCCGCTCCTCCCAGCTCTCGCTGGCGCTCTTCGCTCCGCTCCGCCGACGCGCTGCGCCGGCGCCATCCGTGCCGCTGCGGCATCGGCGGTCCGTCCTCCTCCTCCTCCTCCTCCTCCTCCTCCTCCTCCTCCTCCTCCCTCCTCCTCCTCCTCCTCCTCCTCCCCTCCCCCCCCCCCTCCTCCTCCTCCTCCTCCTCCTCCTCCTCCTCCTCCTCCTCCTCCTCCTCCTCCTCCTCCTCCTCCTTTACAAGGTCCCTGTGGAAGGTCGCTGTCCTGCCGCGGCGGTAATGGTGGCACCCCCTCGACGGTATCTCCGGTTCGCCCGGAGCCGTGCGAGGAGAGTCGCGCTGCGCGCGTCGCGCAGCGCCATGCGCGGACGCGGGTTTCTCCTAGATCTGTGGGCACGTCGAAGCTCCGCATGGTGCCCCCCCCCCCGGTAGACGGAACCCGCCGCGGCCGATCGGCTCCGGTCGCCACGCCTCTGGTTCCTCCCGGCCCGCGGTCGGCGCCGCAGCTCCGCGCGTGGCGCACAGTCGGCACGACCGTGCGGAGGTCAGGTGCAGCTTCCCTGGAGTGCTTCGCCCCTCGGCCTCGGGCTCCCCCGGCTGATTGCCCGGATGGCCGTGTTGGCTGGCTGGTCGGATGGTTGCTTGACTGGCTGATTGGTTGGCAAGCTGGAAATTAGGCTGGTCGGCGCTAGTTGGGTTGGCAGGTGCGACCGTGCAGCGCTCAAAGACACGCCACCCATGCCAGATTCGTCCCGTCAGCCGCCAGGCCTAACACAGATAAGCCTGGCAAAGAGAGGAGCTGGCTTTCCTCTGGGCTCGTACTGCGAGCGGCAAGCGCTGCCGCAAAGCTCGGGGCCATATCGGTGTCGGCAGGGCAGTAGCAGAGGAAGACAGTGGGCTCAAGCTCAAGCAGCTGGAGAGGCCTGCGGGGCAAATCCTCGGGTTTCTGGGCTTTCTGGATGTCCCTGGCAGGCAAACTCGAAGAGGCTTTTCCACAGCGCCAAATGGGTGCATGTGCCACATGTTACATGTCAAGGCATAGCCCGTCCTGGATCCCGCCGCAAGTGCCCGCTCCAGCCTTTCGAGGGGAGTGGCTCCTCCGTGCCCCATGCGAAGCATGGGGGCTTGTCCTCTACCTCTCCTGGGCGCGCTCGGCATAGCGCGCTGGTGGTGGTCGCCTCCCGCTGCGCCCCAGCCTCCACCACAGAAGGCGGGCCGCCTTGGGTCCAGCCTCTGGGCGGGGGAATGTGGCGATTTTTGTTTTTTGGGGGCCCCTTGGGACGCCGCTTAGGGACCTTTTGGGGGCGTCGTGAAGGCTTGTTGGGCCGTCTGGAGGCCAGGTCAGGCGTTGTGGAGTAATATTTCGGCGTCTCGGGGCGCTCCTCGACGTCTACGGCGACCACGCGCTGGTCTGCCCTTGCCGAGGGGACCGGGTCAAGCGGCACAACGCCCTACGAGACCAGGCTTTCTTCGCCGCGCAGGCCGCGGGGTTCCCAGGCTCCGAGCTCGAGCGGCCCGGCCTGCTGCAGCCTCGCGCGAGGGGCGAGGGCCCGCCAGGGACGGAGGAGAACGGCGGCGAGCTCGACGACGGCGGCCGGCGCCCGGCGGATGTGTATATTCCCCGTTGGCGTAACGGCGCCCCGGCCGCCCTTGACTTCGCGGTCACTTCGGGGCTGCGGGGCGACTTGCTCGCCGCCTCGGCTGCCGCGCCCGGCGCCGCGGCCGAGCGGTACGAGGAGCAAAAACGCCTCTTCCTCGACACCGAGCGCAGCTGCGCCGCCGCCAGGACCACCTTCATTCCCATGGTGGTCGAGGCGCACGGCGGCGGCTGGGGCAGGGAGGCGCGACGCGCCCTGGCCGTCCTGGCCAAGCGCGCGGCGGACGCCACGGGGGACGACCCCTCGCAGGTGGCGGCGGAGCACGCCCAGCGACTCTCGCATCTCCTCCAGAAGGAGAATGCGCGGGCCGTGCTCCGCAGGCTGCAGGCGCCGGTCGGGGCGCCCGCGGCCAGGCTGGCGGCGGCCACGGCGGCTAGCGCGGCCGACGCCGCCTGAACCGCCGCCCTCCCCTGACCACGACCACTCCCTCCACTGACCACGACCACCGCCCCCGACGCCCTGCCCCGACGACCCCCCCTGGCCTTGGCCACGACGACGACCACCTCCGTCCGCCCCCTGCTTGCTCTGCGCTGCCTCTGCTGCTTCCCTCCCTCCTTCTGGTCAGCGTCTGTTCGGTGTGTTTTTCCTCTTGCCCCTCGTCTTCCTCCTCCTCCTCCTCCTCCTCCTCCTCCTCCTCCTCCCGGGGCTTGGCACCGCCGCCGCCCGTCGGTCAGCCCCGCAACAGGGCGATGGCGGCCTCTGCCTCAGGCGAAGAAGCCCGACGGCGACCGTCGCCTTTGGGCGCGGAGCCCGCCAGGCCGCGCGGCCAGCATAGGGCCCTCCAGCAAGGCGACCACTTGGGGCGCCGCGCCAAGGAGCGTTTGCGCACGGCCATCGCTCACGGCTTGAGAGTGGTTGTAGATTTAGGGGCCGCCTGGAAGGATCCGAATCCAGGGCGGGCTATTGTTTGTGTTGCCCCCCATCGGGGCGCTCTTGGACCGTCTGGGAGACCTCTTGGGGCCCTCTTGGACCGATTTGGAGCCCTCTGGGGCTCCGAAAAAGAGTTCCGGCATCCTTGAACAGGACTTGCCGGGACCTTGCCGGGACTTTGCCGGGACCTTGCGGGGACCTTGCCAGGAGTCTGCCAGGGTATTTTTCGCCGGGGGGCCCCCAGGGTCCGCCCCGCGCGCGCGAACTAGAAATACTGTTTACCAGCTACCGGAGATCTTAGCACGCCTCTGGCCCGTTGGGCCGGCGAATTAGTAGATGAGGGATCAGAGGTTGATAGGAGACGAGAGGACTCAGGACTGAAGAACCGATCCCAAACTGCCTCCAGGAAGATACTCGAGGACGACCACTGTGTCGGAGTAGTCCAGAACCAGGAGAGGAACACTGCCCAGGAACCAGGGGACAGGTGGTGGTGGTGGTGCGGTGGGTTCTCCCCCATCTCTCCCTGTCCCCCTCCTTCGCGTCTTTCAGTCGCTCGCTCTGGCCGGCCAGCGGTGAGAACCACGATCCGGGGTTTCAATGATCGGGTTCCGAGGGCCCGCCGACGAGCGAAGTCTCACCAAGTGAGATGAGCCTTGGCAGAGGTGCAGACTACCGAGCATAGGCTTCGGTAGGGCCTAGCAGGAACGTTTTCCACTCTTTGGGCGTGCTGAATCTACGAGGAAATTTTGGGCATGTGGCCGTGCTCCAGGGCTCGACTCATAGGTTCAGCGATGCGGTTTACCGTTCCGTTACCGTTGGGCTCAAGTCTGAAAAACCATTTTTGAGGGGAGTTGCTGCCACATGATGAATATGTTGATGATACTGATGCTGATGATGATAATGCTGAGTATGATGGTAGTGGTGGTGGTGAATGTGCTGGCTGCGGTGGGTGGTGGGTGATGATGGTGGTGATGATACTGCTGCTTCTGCAAATCATGATTATGATGGGGATGATGATAATGGTGACGATGATGATGATGATGATGATGATGATGATGATGCCGATGATGATGATGATGATGATGATGATGCTGATGCTGTTGCTGGTGCTGCTGATGATGGTGCAGCTGATGATTATGATGACGATGATGATACTGGAGATGGTGATGATGATAATGAATATGATGACGATGATGATGGTGATGGTGTTGATGATGATGATGATGATGATGATGATGATGATGATGAGCATGGTGATGATGACGATCCTGATGATGATGCTGATGCTGATGCTGGTGCTGCTGATGATGATGCTGCTGATGCTGATGGCGGTGATGATGACGATGATGATGCTGATGATGGTGATGATTTTGATGGTGGTGGAGATGGTGATGGAGATGTTGACGACGGCGACGATTCTGATGATGAGGATGATCGTGATGACGATGCTGCTGATGATGGCGATGATGCTGATGATGCTAATGATGATGACGATGAGGGTGCTGATGCTGTTGACGACGATGATGGTGATGATAATGGTGTTGATGACGAAGATGACGAATACGAGGAACATATAGTGGTGGTGGTGATGTTGATGATGATGATGATGCTGCTGCTGCTGCTGCTGATGATGATGATGATGATGATGATGATGATGATGATGATGATGATGCTGATGCCCCTCTCCGGCCCTCGCTTTCTCCGAGACCTGCTAGCCACGTGCCCCGGGCAGGGCCTGCTGGAGCAGGGCCGCGCTGCCTGCAGCAAGCACCTGTCGGAGAACGAGCAGACCGCGTGCCTGATAGACGTCTGCGAGGCGCGCATCGAGGGGGCGGAAGGCGGGTCGAGGGTTGGCAGCCTTCTTGGCGCCCTATTTTTCACAGGTCTCCTGTGCTGTTGGGCCCTTGTTTTGAATCTGCAGCGCCTCGCGCCACCTCCCTCCTTCCTCCTGCGTTCTCCCTCTTCCTCGTCTTCCCACCTCCCTCCCGCTCTCCTCCCCTCCCTCCTCCTCCTCCTCCTCCTCCTCCTCCTCCTCCTCCTCCTCCTCCTCCTCCTCCTCCTCCTCCTCCTCCTCCTCCTCCTCCCTCCTCGTCCCTCGTCCTCTTGCTGCTGCTCTCTGTCCGCATGCCAATCTCGCCGCACTCCCCGCGCTCGTGCCCGCGAAGGGAGCTCCATCTCTACGGCCCCAGCGAGGGCAGCGCACACGCCGCCCCGCGCGCACGTCGGGCACAACCCTCGCGCATCCCGTGCCCCCACAATGAGCTCCACCGTCGGCCCCAGTGGGTGGCGCGCGTGCCGCCCCGCGCGCACTTCGGGCACACCCCTCGCGCATCCCGTGCCCCCATCCCGTGCCCCCATACACGCAGGGAGTTTCACCTGCCGCCCCAGAGGATGGAGCGCGTGCCGCTCCACGCCCATGCCGCCGCACCCCTCGCACGCTCTGTGCTCCCATGTGGAGTTCCTTCCACTTGCAGCCCCAGTCTGCGTGCGCGTGCCGCCCCGCGCTCGTTCCGGCACTCTCCTCAGCTCTGCGCCCCCCCGTGGGGAACTCCACCTGCGGCCCCAGCGGGCGTGCGCGCTCATACCGCCCCCCGCCACCTCCGACGCGCCCCTCACGCGTTTGGTGCCCCCCCTCAGGAGCTCAGACCTACTTGCCCTGCGGGCGTGCGCGCGCATGCCCCTTCCCCGCCCGTTTCGGCGCACCCCTCGCGCGTTTCGTGCCCTCCCTCAGGAGCTCTACCCACGGCTCCAGCGAGCGAGCGCGCGCGCGCATGCATGCATCCTCCGCCGCTCATTTCGGCGTACCCCCTGCACGTTGCGTGCCCCAAAGAGGAGCTCCACTTGCAGCCCCAGTTGGCGCCCTCGAGTGCTGCCCCTCTCCCATGGAGCCCCACGCACTGCCCCACTGGGCGCGTGCGCACGCCGCCCCGCGCCCAGCTCGGCAAACCCCTCACACGTTTCGCACCCCCACTGGGAGCCCGGCTCGCAGCTCCAGTGGCCGCGCGCGCATGTCGCTCCACGCCTTTTCGGCACCCCTCACACGCGTTGCGCTCTCCAGAGCCCACGCTGGTTTGGCCTCTCGCCAGGCGAATTTCAGGGAGAGCCTCCGGAGGGGAGGCCTCCAGAGGCCTCTGGGGCCCCCCCCGGGGCCTCCGGGGACCCCCGAGGATCTCAGGGGTCCTCCCTCTCTCTCTCTCTCTCCTTCTCTCCGTCCCTCCCTCCCTCCCTCCCTCACTCCCTCCTTCCTCCGCAGCCGCCCTTGCTTCTCCCTGCTCCTCGGGTCCCTCGTCATCGCCGTCGTCGCTCCCCGCTCCTCGCGGAGAGGCCCGTCGGAGCGGCAGCACGCCCTTGCGAGACGCGGCCTGCTGCGGCTCTCCTCTGCGCAGTGCTCGTGGCCCAGCACGGCAGGCCTCACCGCCAAAGCGGCGCGCTCCGTTGGCTCAAAGAGCCGTCAGCGTCCCGTGGACTGCCTGCAGTAACGAGGGGTCCTCTTCTGCACTCGTCGCAGGGGGGCGCCCGCCGATTTCGAGTGGGTCTGGCCCCGCCTTTGCCTGTGACTGCGGCTCCTGCTCCTGCTCGTGCTCCTCCTCTTCCCCCTCCTCGACGGTGAAGTTGCGCCAGCGGCGGCTACTGGCCCGAAGAGCGCAAGCATTCTGCGACCATCGCTCCTGAGTGGCAGCCGCTGATTCGTCCAGTCGTTGTTTTAGGGGCTGTCCTCGTCACGCCACCTCGTCGTGCGAGTAAGTGTCCAGGCGCAATGAGCACTGCCCACGGGCGCTTGAGGGCATTGACGAGCACCCCATTCTCTGGTGTCGTAGTCTTATTCCCAAGCAGTGGCTCCGTCTTCCTGGAGCTCCTGTGGATCGTGCGTTGGAATATTTCCGATGCCATGACGGTCCGTTGCCTGCAGGGACGTATGGTTCAGATGGTGCTGGAGAGCTGTTTGCCACCGATCCCATCTTGCGTCGTGTGACCTTTGGGTTTGCGCGCCTTTGCTGCTTGTTCCCTGAATGTGACTGGGACTGCGGGGCACACGGAGTACTGGACAGTCAGAGTCAGATTGTGCCGCGCACGGAGCTTGTTGCCATCGTGGAGGTGATGCGTCGGGTTACACCTGATCAAGACCTGACGGTGTTCACGGACCATATCAATCACCACAAAGCCTTCCACACACCCTGCGGCTGCAGAGTGCCGACCTGTGGTGGGAGCTCTGTAAATTGCTCGACCTACGGTCAGGACTTTTTCATGTTCTTCATACGCTAAGCCGCCCCGCAATTGTTTTGATGATGAAGCGAAGCTTCGCTCGTCTTGCGGCGTCGTCGAACCCGCAATACCTCTTCAATGCTATCGCGAATGCTCCGGCTACTGCGCGGTCTTTGTGCGCCCAAGGCGTGGTCGATGTTGTCCGCGAGATGGTGGAATTGGAGAATGCATATTGAGACGCAATGCTTCCATCATCTTGGAGCACGCCATTCGGCTCAAGAACATGAAACGCATTGCGTATCACATCCAGGTCCCGCGAACGGTACGCAGGCGCAGGGTTGTTGTCGCATTCTTCGGTGCTTCCAGCCAAAAATTCGTTCCAGTGGCCAGGGACACATGGCTCTGCACTGCCTGGGACAAGAAAGTGCGAGCCGCCGCTGGTACATTTTTCCGCACGGTTCGCTCCCATTGTGCGGCGTTCATTGAGGCCGTGAGGGATTGAACGTCCGAAGCGGGCTAGAGGACGGCGAGAGGTGGGCTCGCAGTTCAGCAAAGCACCAATCGATGTTAACCTCTGATGTAGACTTGAATGGACCGACTTCCCTCGCCGCCTCCCTCCTCCAGCTACGCCGTTGGGGCAAAGTTCGCTTTACCTTTTGCGGGCTGGGCGGATGCCGGGCTGAATTTCGGCCCCACGATTCGCGCATGGAGTGCCACGTTGCCCTGCGTGGCACAGCAGCCCGACATGCTTCGACTGGGGGAGGACCAGCGAGGTCCTACTTCCCCCCTGCTAGGTTGTCTCTTCGGAAGCTTGACAAGCAGCGGTCCACAGCAAAATCTCCTCTCTCCTCCCTCCTCCCTTTCCTCGTCCCTTCTCTCCCTTGTCTTCGTTCGTGCCCTCCTCTCTCTTTCTCCTCCTCCTCCTCCTCGTCGTCCTCGTCCGCGTGGTCGTCGTGGTCGTCGTGGTCGTCGTGGTCGTCGTCGTCGTCGTCGTCGTCGTCGTCCTCGTCCTCGTTCTCGTCCTCGTCCTCATCTTCGTCCTCGTTCTCCTCCTCCTCCTCCTCCTTCTCCATCCTTTTCCTTATGAGTAACTCCTCCCTGTCGCACCCCCAGACGTGCTAGTAGGGCGGGCTGGGCGTTTTGCTTGAGATTTCATTCGGATTTGCCAGCAGATCCTGAACTTTGAGATGTGCAACAGCTTCACGGATGAAGGGCTGGTTGGTTTTCAAACTTTGGTTCTCGCCTTAGCGCCGCGCGCATTTGTCTCATAGTTTGCAGTATTTTCCACGGTGGAGGGCGGTTCCTGTTCAAGTTGTGGCTGTCGCTTTAGCGCCGCGGGCATTACATTTTTAAAACCTTGCAGCCGTTTCAAGGATTCGTACGGTCGAAGTTCCAGGAATGATGTTTCGATTCAGTACGCAACAGTCACGTTGATTCGCTGTGTTGAACTCACGATTTAGGGTTGTCAGTACACAAGAGCCAAGTTGATTCGCGGCGTCGAAGGGCCAGGAATACTTTTTTTGGCACGGTCGAGGATTCTCAGACGTTTGTCTTCCAATATAAGGACGTCCCGCAATGAACATTTTTTAAGGACCCATGCAGAAGCAACTTCGGGTGAGGGTTTGTTGCAACATCTTTGATGCGTCTTGGATTTGCAGTGGTCCCATTTCTCCTCTTCCGCACTTGCGCCTTGTCGAGAGGTTGCAGGGGCGCCAGAATCGCCCCGAGCGACCGTCTGAGTTCCGAGTTGTGACCCGAAGGCCAAGCGGAGGGGGGAAGGCGGAATCATTTATCACACTGGTACACATGAGGCATGTAGTCACATAGTCACACAGGTCTTGAAGTCTTACCGGGGCTCCTTGGTGGCCCTCGGCGTCGTGGCTGGAGCCGCTCTGGAATAAGTCTGGGGGCCGCTGTTTGAGGGGGAGAAGGCGGAGGATCCCTCCGACCGTAGCCAGACCCCTGCTCCCCTGGTCCTGTGTCTCCTCAATGTATCCCCTGCGTCTCCTCCATCTCATCTCCTGTCGAACCAACAACACACCCCCATACCCATAGGGGGGTCGGAAAGGGCTATGGGTGCGTGTTGTCGGATGGGGGTCCCCGCTCGAACGGGAGCGTTCCCTAGGGTCCGACAACCCGCACCCATACCCAGAGCCAGTCCTCCTCCCAACGACCCCCTTATGGGTACAGTCGGGGCCCTGAAGAAGGAACCCTTTCCATTAGGGAGGGGCTCGGTGTTCCTTGATTGTTTCAAAGTTTGCCTCGGGTTTTCCTGAGGTTTTCCATAGGAAATCGGGGTTGAACTTGTGGGAAAAAGGGGCCTCGTTCCTTATTTAGGGTTCCTTAGGTCAACGCCCCGACTGTATGGGTGTGTGTTGTTCGTTGGTCATCTCCACTGCCTCCTCCGCCTCCTTCCCTTCTCCACACGTGGGGGGCGGAGCTGCATGCGGGCGCCGGCGCGGCGGCCTCCGGTTGCGGCCGCGAGAGGCCAAGTCTCTGTCCGTTGCGGCCCTGGACGACGCCCTGGGCAACGTGGAGCAGCAGGCGGGGGAGTCGGCCCGCGGCCCGCGCCGGCTGCTGCTGCTGCTGCTGCTGCTGCTGCTGCTGCTGCTGTCAGGAGGGAAACAAAACACACACAGACACACTTAATCGTCGATTCCCCCGAAAATATGGGAAAATATGGGAAGTGGGGGCGAAGCCAAAAACCAGAAAATATGAGAAAATATGGGGAATCTTTTTATTTGTGTGTAGTTATTTGTGTGTGTCCCAGGGCCCCTTCATGCTGCTGCTGCTCGTTGTGGGGTGGTGGTCGTCGTCTGCCCATCCCTTCGCTCCCGCCTCGCCGTGCGCCACAGTGCCGTCTGCGCCGCGCGCCGCGCCCACTCTGATCTTCTTTGATCTGATGCGGATCGTCCCCCTCCGCCGATGCGTGATCCTCCTCTCCCGCCTCCTCCTCCACCTCCTCGGCACGGTGCTGCAGATGAAGGTAAGTGCGTTCGTAGGCGCGACCTCACATAGGTGGAAAAAAGAGGGGCGACAGCACAGAAGGAGAACCGATCAGGCGAGGAATCCCAGCACGCTAGTGCCCACGCACCCCCACGGCGTCGGCATCGCATCCACTGCTAGGACGATTCCCATCACAATCAGCCCATCCTTCAGGTCCACCCCCCTCGGGGATGCGATGGGCGGCAGAGGCAAGAAGGGCGGCATGAGCTGTAATCCCCTGTTGGCCAGCCTCGCCGTCGTTAATCTCTCTTGGGGCCCTCTTGGGCCGTCTTGGGCCCCCTGTTGGGCCGTCTTGGGGCCCTCTTTGGGGCCTCTTGGGCTGTCTTGGACGCAGTGAGGGGCGAAAAGGAGAATGTGCTGAGCATGTACGCTTTCCTAGGGGATTGTAGCGATTTTGCCTCTTGCGGCTCTCTTGGATGGTCTCTTGGGGCACTTTTGGGGCGTCTTGGGGGCCTCTTGGGCCGTCTTGAGGCCATCTTGGGCGTCTTCCAGTGATCTTTGGGCGACTGGGCGCCCACTCAGACTGTCTCGGGAGCCTTTGTGGTGCTCTTGGCCCGTCTTGGAGCCCTCTAGGCCCCCGAACAAGTCATGCGGGAAGGCCCAGAAGCGCCGAGGGCGCCCGAGAACGCCTGGAACTCTGGGCTCTGGCCCCCGTGCAGAACCCTCCAGATTGAGGGCGGATGACGTTGTGGGACCCGAGGGCACCCCACTCGGTGTCTCGCGGCAGCGGGACGCCCTGGCCACGCGGTCGCCGCCGCAGAAACTGCCCGTTCCAGGCTGGCGCCGCGCAAACGGGGCGCCGATGTGACATCCAGGTCGCCCCTTGGGGGCGCGAAGATCATCGCGCTCCGCACGCTTGCGGGCTGGGCCGGAGCGGCTGCCCCCCTCCAGCGGGTGGGGGGGGTGGGCGGGGCGGCGCGAGGGCGCCGGGGCGCGAAGGAAGCCGCTCGTCGCGCACCGCGGGGCGCGGGGCGCGAGGGCGAAGCGCAGCATCCGGCACCGGCTGCTGGAAGAAGCGGCGGCCAAGGTCCTGTCGCTCTGTCGTCTGGGCAGTGGCCTGGGGCCCTGGACGCGAGATGTTCGGGACGCTCGGACCACCGGTCGGGTTTGCCCCGTGCCCTGTGGAGCCTCTGACCCTCTTCCTTGACGGGGTTCCGCTGGTTCACCTCTCGGTTGACGGGGTCTCTACACATCCACCGCCCCTGGCCAGGCCCATCCTGGGCCCCAGGGCGGTGGATCTGTGTAGATCTCGTCGCCCTACACCTCGTGACTGTCAGCGCGATGCCCCGCCCGCCGCAACTTGCTGGCGCACTTCACGCTCCTGTGCAAGCGTTTGCGCATTCGGCCAGGCGCGTGCCACTCTTTCATGCGCGACTCACGCAGTGTGCCCGTTGCCCACACCAGTAGGTCGTCAGCTTGCTTGTGCTGTCCTCCTCCTTCTCCTCATTTCCCTTCCTATTTGTTCACGCCCATCCTCTTTCCCTTCCTCGTCCTCTGCGCCAGTCGTCGGGCGCGCGCGGAGGTGCAGGTGCACCTGGAGGGGCAGGAGTCGGTCCAGTTCACTGCAGAGAAAACGGTCGACGTCAGCGTCAGCTCACAGAAGACGGTCGATGTCACCACCCACCGGTAACGGTTGCGCGATGCAGTGGACGCCTTGGGAATATTGCTTTTCCTAGCGACGCCACTACAGACAATGTAGGGATTTCTCCTCCTTCCTCACTCCCCTTCCTCACTCTTTTCTTCCTTTCTCCCTACCTCCATGCTCCCTCTTCCATCCTCCCGCCGTCCTTCCCCCTCCCTCCTCTCTCGCCTCCATTCCTCCCCTTCCCGCTGCTTCTCTCCCTCCTCGATCATAGGACTGCCGGAGTGACTTAGGCCACGTCAGGTGCGAAGCCGCAGCTTCTTTGCCAACCGATGTATTTTACCAGAAGGATGAGGAGGGATGATGAGGAGGAGGTAGAGGACGAGGATGCGGATGAGGAGGAGGAGGAGAAGGAGGAGGAATATCAGGTGCAAGGAACAATGGCACAGAGGTGCGGAGCAATAAGGGAGGACGAGGATGGGGAGGATGTGGAGGAGGATCAAGGAGAAGGAGGATCACATATGATGATGAATGGGAGGAGGATCAAGGAGCCAGGGTCCAGATGAGTAAGGAGCGTTTGAAGTGTCACGCCGCACATGCAGTTGGAGTCCGCGAGGAGGGTCGCCAGGTCCTGGATCCGCGCAGAGTAGACAACGATGCAAGCGGACCCGTTCGGATCTGCTCGCATCTGGCCGACACTTGAGCAGGCCTCTCTCCTTCACCTCTTCCTCCCCCTTCTCAACTTTCTCCACCACCTCTTCCTGTTCCTCCAACTCCACCTCTACATCCTCAACCTCATCCGCCTCTACCGCCGCTCCTCCTCCTCCTTCTCCTCTTTCTTTCCATCTCTTCTTTGTCTTCTCCTCCTTACCCCTCCTCATTATCCTTTTCCTCCCCATTGTTTCCCTAGGTGTCGTCGTTCCCCGAGCTCGAACGCGAACCCGAACTCTGAACACCTACCACTTGCTCCCTACAGTGTGACAAGATGATGGAACACCAAAGTAGTACTGGTAGTCGTAGTCGTCGTCGTCGTCGTCGTCGTCGTCGTCGTCGTCGTCGTCGTCGTCGTCGTCGTCTTCGTCGTCGTCGTCGTCGTCGTAGTAGTAGTAGTAGTAGTAGTAGTAGTAGTAGTAGTAGTAGTAGTAGTAGTAGTAGTAGTAGTAGTAGTAGTAGTAGTAGTAGTAGTAGTAGTAGTAGTAGTAGTAGTAGTAGTAGTAGTAGTAGTAGTAGTAGTAGTAGTAGTAGTAGTAGTAGTAGTAGTGTAGTAGTAGTAGTAGTAGTAGTAGTAGTGCCGGAATCGCAGTAGTGGTAGTAGTTGTAGTAGTCGTGGTCGTAGTAGTAGTAGTAGTAGTAGTAGTAGTAGTAGTAGTAGTAGTAGTAGTAGTCGTAGTCGTAGTCGTAGTAGCAGTAGTCGTAGTAGTAGCAGTAGTAGTAGTAGTAGTAGTAGTAGTCGTCGTTGTGGTAGTAGTAGTAGTAGTAGTCGTCGGTTTCGTCGTCGTCGTCGTAGTCGTAATCGTAGTCGTAGTAGTAGTAGTAGTAGTAGTAGTAGTAGTAGTAGTAGTAGTAGTAGTAGTAGTAGTAATAGTGGTAGTAGTAGTAGTAGTAGCAGTAGTGGTAGTAGTAGTAGTAGTAGTAGTAGTAGTAGTAGTAGTGGTAGTGGTGGTAGTAGTAGTTGTAGTCGCAGGAGTGGTATAGTAGTAGTAGTAGTAGTAGTAGTAGTAGTAGAGTAGTAGTAGTAATCGTAGCAGTAGTAGTAGTAGTATGAGTAGTCGTTGGTGTAACATTAGTAGTAGCAGTCGTCGTGTCAGTAGTATTTGTCGTCGTCGTCGTCGGCGTCGGCGTCACAGTCGTAGTAGGGTTAGCAGTAATGTCAGTAGTAATTGCAGCAGCAGCAGCAGTAGCAGTAGTAGTAGTAGTAGTAGTAGTAGTAGTAGTAGTAGTAGCCATAGTAGTAGTAGTAGTAGTAGTAGTAGTAGTAGTAGTAGTAGTAGTGGTCGTAGTAGTAGTAGTAGTAGTAGTAGTAGTAGTAGTAGTAGTCGTAGTCGTAGTAGTAGGAGTAGTCGTTGTAGTGGCAGCAGCAGCAGTAGACGTAGTTTTCGTAGTAGTAGTAGTAGTAGTAGTAGTAGTAGTAGTAGTAGTAGTAGAAGTAGTATAGTAGTAGAGTAGTAGTAGTAGTAGTAGTAGTAGTAGTAGTAGTAGTAGTAGTAGTAGTAGTAGTAGTAGTAGTAGTGGTAGTGGTAGTAGTATTAGTAGTAGTAGTAGTAGTAGGTTCAGAAGTCGTAGCAGTAGTCGTCGCAGTAGTAGTAGTAGTAGTAGTAGTAGTAGTAGTAGTAGTAGTAGTAGTGCAGTAGTAGTAGTAGTAGTAGTAGTAGTAGTAGTAGTAGTAGTAGTAGTAGTAGTAGTAGTAGTAGTTGTAGTAGGTGAAGTAGGTGAAGGAGAAGGAGGGGTTCAACGCAGAGACAGTAGGATCTCTTCCTGGCCATGCGTGGTGCCAGACGGGACAAAGTATGCCCGGTGCGTCGCGCTGACGACCCTGCCCTGTCTTCGCGGCTTCAAGGCGATGGTTGACCTTCAGTGGGACGTTGTCACGGAGGAGGAGGAGGAACATGCTGATGATGATGTTGATGCTGATGTTGATGCTGCTGCTGATGATGCTGATGATGATGATGTTGTTGGTGATGATGCTGATGACTATTTTTTAGCATGATTGCGATGCTGATGCGTCTGATGCTGTTGCTGCTGCTGCTGCTGATGATGATGGTGGTGGTTATGATGATTGTGGTGATGATGTTGAGATAGAAGTAGAGTAGGGGAGAACCATGACGAGGATGATGTTGCGAGTGAGGGGGGGGAGGATGAGGAGGGGGAAGCGACGGGGGAGGTGATGGCCAAGGGGAGGGAGGAGGAGGGTGGACGTAGCAACGGAAGAGGACGCGGGAGGGGGGATGGAGGTGGAGGAAGAGGAGTTGAGGGAGGGAGCGTGGGCGTGAGGTGAAATAGGAGGAGGAGGAGGAGGAGGAGGACGAGGACGAGGACGAGGAGGAGGAGACGGAGGAGGAGGAGGGGGAGGGGGAAGAGAGGGGGGTGGAGGGGGTGGGGGAGGAGGAGGAGGATGAAGAAGAGGAAGAGGAACAACAGTAGCAACAACAATAATAGTAGTAATGGTAGTACTGGTACTAATCACCATAGTATTACTAATCATAAGAATAGCAGTAATAACAATATCAAACAGACTCATAATATTAGTCAAACTAAAGCTATTGATTATAATCGTAATGCTCATATTAATAGTATTCGTGCGAATAATAATGTGAATGCTAATCGTAATAGTTATACTATTAGTAGTTCTAGTGCGAGTGATAGTCCTATTGTAGAAATACTACTACTAATACTGATACTCATAGGACTCTTACGATTAATAGTAGTCGTATTCAGAAGACTCGTGATACTACGAATCAGAACAATAATATTATGATGTTCAAGAGTAGTTTAAAATATTCGAACACTAGTAGTGAAGCAGGAGGAGGAGGAGGCGGAGTCGGAGTCGGAGGCGGAGGCGGAGGCGGAGGCGGAGGCGGAGGAAGGAGAAGGAGGAGGCGGAGGGGCAGGAGGGAGGTGGAGGGGAAGGGGGGGGAGGACGACTTGCTGGACCAGGGTCAACCCAGCACGCGCCACTCCTCGTAGGTGATTGCGTCTTTTTGCCGATCACCGCTGAAAGCACCCGCCAGACAAGGTGAGGGGCCCATGGACCTGCACGATGAACGCCGGGTGCGTTTTAGGTTGGAATGCGAATCGGTGCCGTCATCAAGATGCGACTCCAGAACGTTAGAAAAACGCGATGGGCTCGAGAGCGAATCGACCTCCACCTTTTTGTGTTTTGTGAAAACTTGAGGAGGTCGCGCGGCGCCGGAGCGAGAGTGCGATTCTGAAAAGGGTCTCGCTCCATCCGTAGAACTTCCGAAACTTGAGTTTTCCAGAATTTGAAAGGTAACAAGCTCTCGGATGAGACTTCGGTTTTAATCCAGAGTCGCTCTTCATCAATTTCGCTGTTTTGAAGTTTTAAGCTTGAAGCTCTTCTACAAGCCTCTGACTTGCCTCAAAGTTGCTACCCTCCATCTTTGTAGCCTTGGAAAGTCCGCAGCGAGATCTCGGCATTGAAAAAGACCCGCCCTCTATACCCGGAGCTGGCGGAGATTTCAAGCTTCAGAGTCATAGGTTGTGAGGTAGTCTCATGCGGGGGGGGCCATTTTGAAATGGTACCTTTCTCCGAGCAGCGGTTGGGGACTTCTCAGGTCCATGTGCGAGGTGCTGAGGCGATGGCCAGATCATGCAAGCGTGCCTCCCTCAATCAAAACAGCTCCTGGGGACCTCGAGAAACAGTCGCGTGGCGCTAAGTTAGTCGCAACAGTTTGAAGAAGGGCCGCTTTCCTCCATGATAGTTGTTGAACCTCCCAAGTTTCATGAGCATACAGTGTGAGCCGGTATCGGACAAAACATTCGGACCGCCCCACCGACACGTCTGGACGTGTGAGGATGATGTTCTACAGTCAAAAACCCTAATAAGGACGCGCGACTTTGCTCAGGGTACCCTTGCGTCCTTGCTCTTCCTTGCTCTTGCGTCCTTGGGGTTTTCGTCGTCCGCCGCCCCAAAAATCCCAACTTCGGCTTGCAAGGGTCTTGCGTCCTTACCGCGCGTCCTTATTAGGGTTTCTGATTGTATTTGCAAGAAGTTATAGGATGGCGACGAATCTGAGGATGAGAAGGAGCGGGAGGGAGTGGGATGGTAGGAGCTGGTAGGAAGCGCACGTAGGCGGACATGCTCGCTGATACGAGCACACACATGGACGCTATGAGGCCCACGGTTGATTAGCTCTTTCTGCCTGGAGCGCTCGATTTGCTTTACCTCCTCCTCTTACCTCCTCGCTGCAGCTCCCGCTGCTGCTCCTTCTCCTCCTCCTCCTTCCCATCGCCATCAGCGGAGAGTTAGCGGAGAAGCAACTCGGCAACATTCGATTTCGCAAAGGGCGAAGAAGGACTCAGAGGAGGACGGACGAGGACGGAGGACGGGGGATGGAGGACGGAGGAGGAGAAGGAAGACGAGGAGGATGAGGAGTAGAAGGGCGAGCTCCACTGAAGGGGGGGCGGCCTGCTCCCCATTCTTCATGTCGGCCAACAAGTTCCCCGAAGGTCATCGATCGCAGCGGGCTGGCGTCTTGGTGCTTCTGGCGCCTGGGGGGAGGGTCGGGGAGGCAAATGCTGGACGGCCATTTCTCAGCGCCCGCCGCGAGGGTCGACGCCTGGCGTGGCGGAGCCGCCGTCTCGGCCCGTCCGCCCGCTGGCAGTCGCACCTGCCCACCTCCCGGCCCCTCTTGTGGATCCCCACATGCTATTGTAGGCGATCCGTCATGGGCCCCCCTCGTTGCACGCAGCAGTCAAGCTGTCGTGCAGCATACCGTTGGAGGACCGCCGAGGACCACCTTGGAGCGCCCGAGGACGCGGTTGGCTCCGGCCAGCCCTTCCGGGCGCTCGCGCGCGGGCCAAGCCCGCGGCGCCCACGGGCTCTCGCGAGAGGGGGTGCGCCTTCGCTGGGCCGACGGTGCCCTCCTCACCTCGCCCCCAGCTTTCCGCCTCGCGGCGCGTCGCGCGGGCGGCCTGGCGGGGGGCCCGTGCATGGACCGCGTGTCGACTCGGAAGGACGACCGCCTCCAGCCCTCGCTGGCGGCGTGCAGGGGGTGGTGCAGAGCCATGGTCGGGTGTTGCTAGAAGTGCCCCTGGCCCAAGGTGCCCCCAGGATTTCCAAGGAGGCCCCCACGGCCTCCAGGGCACCCCTCACGAGGCCCAGGGCCTCAAGGGCTCCGAAATTGAGCGAAAAGCTGCGGGCACCTTGGCCCAGAAGGAGGCGCACTTAGAGGCCCCGAAACGGGCCTCCTCCAAAGCAGGCGGGCTTCTCAGAAGCCCCCCTCCCCCGCCCTGGCCCTCCAAACGCCCTGGCCCTCCACACGCCCCCTCCCCACGCCCTGGCCCTCCACACGCCCCCCCCTCGCGCCCTGGCCCTCCACACGCCCCCCCCCCCGCGCCCGTGGCCCTCCACACGCCCCTGGCCCTCCTCAGAAGGCCCCCCCCTCCGTTCTGGCCCTCCGCACGCCGCCTGCCGGCCCCCGCTCAGGAGTCCAGGGCGTCCGCGCGCCCCCCGCCCCCCTTTGCCTGCAGGGGGCGCGCGCCGCGCGCGTGGTCCGAGCCCTTTTTGGGCCGTTCGCTCGTGGTGTCTCTCCCCGAAAATGCGCTTGTCGGAGGGAGGAGAATAGGGGAACGAAGAATGACATAAGCGTAAAAACTCGGAGGTCCGCGCGGATTTCTCGGATCCGCGCTGGACCCCCCTGGCGGCGCCTCCGGCGCCGCCCCTAGCGCGTGCCAGGGAGGGGGGTCCAGCGCCGATCCGAGAAGTCCCCGCGGACCTCCGAGTTTTTATGTTTATGTCATTCTTCGTTCCCCTAGAGAAGCGATGCCAACACCACCAGGGGGCCCACCTCCAGCGAGGAGGTCCACGATGCCTCCCCGAGCTGGATGCTGGGGGTATCTCGAGCGAGAGGTTGGACCACACCACCAGGGAGACCCCCCTTGCCTCCTCGCATCTCCTCGCCCTGGTGGTGTTGGTGTCGCCTTTCCTTGTTCCTATCTTGCTCCTGTCAGCGCCATGGTCTTCGTCGCCCCTGGGCACAGCGGGAGGGAGGGAGGGGGATGGCGGCGGGATGAGGGGAGGGCAGCAACGGGACGGCGGGATGATGATGGATGGCTGATGGGTGGGAGGTGGAGGATGGGGATGATGCTGCTGCTGCTGCTGAGCTGCTGATGACGAGGATGATGACGATGACGATGACGACGATGATGATGATGATGATGATGATGATGATGATGATGATGATGATGATGATGATGATGATGATGATGATGGTGTTGTTGATGATGATGACGAGGATGATGATGCTGCTGATGATGATGCCGACGACGACGATGATGATGATGATGCTGCTGATGCTGATGCTGATGCTGATGATGCTGATGATGATGCTGATGCTGCCGATGATGACGATGATGCTGATGACGACGACGATGATGATGACGATGATGATTATGATGATGCTGCTGCTGCTGATAATGATAATGATAATGATGATGATGACGATGATGATGATGATGATGATGATGCTGATGATGATGATGATGATGATGACGATGATGATGATGATGAGGATGATGAGGATGATGATGATGATGATGATGATGATGATGTGATGATGATGATGATGATGATGATGATGATGATGATGATGATGATGATGATGATGATGATGATGATGATGATGATGATGATGCTGATGATGATGATGCTTTTTTGTTTAAATATATATATATATATATATATATATATATTATTATTGATACTATTATTATTATCATGATTATTATTATGAGTCTTGTGATATGAGGATGATGATGGTGCTGCTGCTGATGATGACGACGAGGATGATGATGACGACGAGGATGATGACGAGGAGGAGAAGGAGGAGGAGGGAGGAGGAGGATGAGGATGTGGTGGTGGTGCTAATGATGAGGATGAGGCAGGGGATGAGGAGGAGGGGGATTAGGAGGAGAAGGAGGAGGAAGGGGAGGAGGAGAAGGAGGAGGAGAGGGAGCTTGAGCAACAGGAGGGAAGACGTGGACGAGGAACGAGGAGGATGACGATATTGATAATGATGATGATGATGATGATGATGATGATGATGATGTTGATGATGATGATGATGATGATGATGACGACGACGAGGATCATGATGGTGATGATGCTGATGATGGTGTTGATGATGATGAAGAGGACGAGGATGAGGATGAGGATGATGATGAGGAAGATGAATATGAAGATGAAGATGAAGGTGAATCTGAATATGATGATGATGACGATAATGATGTTGATGATGTTGATGCTGCTGATGATGACGATGATGATGATGCTGATGATGATGATGCTGATGATGCAGATGTTAATGACGACGATGATGATGTTGATGATGGTGATGATGGTGATGATGATGCTGATGCTGCTGCTGATGATGATGATGATTATTATGATGATGATGATGATGATGATGATGATGATGATGATGATGATGATGATGATGATGATGATGTTGATGATGATGATGATGATGATGATGATGATGATGATGCTGATGATGATGAGGAGGAGGAAGAGGAGGAGGAGAAGGAGGAGGAGGAGGAGGCTGACCAGTGTAAACTCAAGACTCATCAACGATCTTGCATTCAACCCTCCCTCCAAGTTCTCTCGTCATAGGCTCCTACAGGGGTTCATGTCCACTGAGGGAATGCCGCGTTGGAAGACAACCGTTTGAAAATCCCGAATTGTGCCAGAAAGCCATTTTGGGTGCTTCAGCGCCGCGACTCACTGTTACTGCTGCGTCTGAAGATCCTGAGCCGTATCAGAACACCAGTCCTGGGACTTCAACACCGCGAATCAACGTGACTGTTGCGCCCTGACGTTCCGACATAGTGCCAAAACGCTATTTCTGGTCGTTCACCATGAGAATCTTTGAAACTGCAGTAAACACTTAAGACGAATGTGCGCAGCGCTACGGCGAGAGCAACCTTTGAACAGGAACCGTCCTCCATACGTGAAATTTTATCAGACTTTTGAAGGTGAGTGTGCTCGGCGCTATGGCGAGAGCCACACTTTGAAAAGAAGCCACCCTCCATCCGTGAAGCTCTTGCGACCTTTTGAAGACGAGTGTGCGCGGCGCTAAGGCGAGAGCCACATTTTGAAAACGGATCGCCCTCCATCCGTCAAGCTATTGCAAATTCCAAGCTTCAGGATCATAAGTTGTGAGGAAATCTCAGGCGAAATGCCCAGCCCGCCATTTCGACCGGCCTCGGGGTGCGACAGGGAGGAGTTATCTATAAAGAGCATGAATGGAGGAGTAGGAGGAGGAGGAGGAGGAGGAGGAGGAGGAGGAGAAGGAGGAGGAGGAGGAGGAGGAGGAGGAAGAGGAGGAGGAGGAGGAGAAGGGGGAGTAGGATGAGGAGGGGAAGACGAGGAGGCTGAGGAGGAGGAGGAGGAGGCAGGGATGGGGGAGGCCAGCGGCGGTGGAGGAGGGGGCAGGAGGATGAAGAAGAGGAGGAGGAGGAGGAAGAGGAGGAGGAGGAGGAGGAGGAGGATGAGGAGAGCGTGCTGTTTGCCATCACGTCCCCCCTCGTACCCCAGACGGTGGGGCGGGGGGGCGTTGGCAGCGTCCGGAGGACCCTCTTGCCGTCAGTGCTTCAGTGTTTCAGTGCTTCAGGAGGAGAAGGAGGAGGAGGAGGAGGAGGAGGAGGAGGAGGAGGAGGAGGAGGAGGAGGAGGCGGAAGAACGAGGAAGAGGGTGGCCCCTCGGGCTCCCGGCTGCTGGAATCGTCCTACCCATGTGTCTCTCTTCGTCTATGTATGCTGCCCACGCCTCTAATGCTTATCTCTTTGCCACCATTGACCCACTAGCTAGCCCGATCACACTATCATTATGTAGTCTCCCCAGGCTGATTCATAGCGCGGGGCATGAAAGTCCACGACTGCCCCTTAGAAGGCGGTGCACCTTCCGTCCCATGGGTGCTCGGCGGTGCCCTGCTGCTGCTGCTGCTGCTCCCCCTTCGGCCTCCAAGGCTTCCAGGTACGGCGGTTAGACGTCAACTGTGGAGGCCTTGGGCCTCGGGTCGAGAGCTAGCCGAGGGCCAAGGCACCGACGGCGCCCCGGGACACTGGGACGTCGACCGCGCCCTGGGACCCTGGGCACGGATGTGACGAGTTTGAGTGTACAGTGTGCAGTCGGGAATTTTGGGATAGCGTGTCGCTCCGCCGGTTCTGGCCCACCACGCTGCAGCGCGACACGCTATCCACGTCGCGGTCCCTAAGACGCCACCGTCTCGAGTTTTTCTTTCTCCTTGCCTCCCGTCCCGCGGAGCGGAGTGACACGCTATCGGCTCACAACGCGTAGCGTGTCGTCGGGGCAGCCGCCGCGACACGCTGTGCTATGCAAAAGTTCCCGACCGTACGTGTGGCCAACGTTGAGATAATCAACGCGGATGGGGGAGGTCGGCTACAGCCGGGGCCCTGCAGAAGGAACCCTTTTCGTTGGGGAGGCGCTCGGTGTTCCTTGATTGTTCTACAGTTTGCCTTCTGTTTTCCTGAGGTTTTCCATGGGAAATCGAAGTTCAACTTATGGGAAAAAAGGGGCCCCGTTCTTTATTTAGGGTTCCTTCGGTCAACGCCCCGACTGTACATGTAAGACTGGCCCTCCGCCAGAGGGACCTCTGGTGCGCCGCTTTCGGGGGCCGCGGGGGGAGGGGGCGTAAGTCCGAGCACGCAGGCCGCTGCCGCCGTAGCGAACGCGGCGACAGGCAGGCCAGGCACCGAAGGGCCATCCCTGCCCAGAGCCGCTCCTCGAATTAACAAAGGCTGCATCAGCATCAACCTTGGCACTCTGCACGGCCTTCTGGGATCTGCGCTGGACCCTCCTCCCTCTCGCGCGGAGCGCGCCAGGGGCGGCGCCAGAGGCGCCGCCAGGGGGCTCCAGCGCACATCTCAGAAACCCGCGCAGAGCGTCGAAAGCTTCTATTTCTGTTTCTGCTTGTTCCTGCAGCTCTTGCGTGCAGGGCCGGGGAGGGCGAGCAGCAGCAGGAACAGCGCAGCCCGCGGCCGTGGAGCCGCCCGCCACGGCGGAGAGCGCGCGGCCCGCCATGGCGCGGGGCGCGCCGGCGGCGGCCGGCGGCGGCCGGCGGCGGCGGCGTGCCGGGGCCGCCCTGGCGCGCCTCCCCCCAGCCTGGCGGGGCAGCGTTTCTGGGAACCAGCACATGATCAGCTCTGACCAGTAGCAGAAAGTTTGGAGGCATGTTTTGATGTTTTGATTTTTTTTTGAGATTCGTAGATCGGCGGTTGGAGAGGGCCCGTTTTGCCCCCCCCCCCCCCTCCAGATTTGGCGCGATCTCCACGTTGCGTTCAACTTGTAACGCGCTTTTTGATCCAAAGACATCGGGCCGAAGTCGGGCCACCGCCGCGTTTCGTGAAATTTACGTTTCTGTCATGTGACATGGCATAAACGTAATTTTTCGGAGGTCCGCGCGGAGTTCTCGGATCGTCGCTGGCGCCCCCTGGCCCCCTGGCGGCGTCTCCGGCGCCGCCCCTGGCGAGCTCCGCGCGCCGGGAAGGGGGGTCAGCGCCGATCCCACAAATGCGCG